GTGTCTGGTGGGCCTGCGCGCACCAGGCCACGCGCCACCGCCCCCGCCGTCCCTGTCAAAAACCATTTGACAATGATCGCGGGATGGCCGCGCATGATGCAGATTTAGTTGCGAAGTGCATGTTTTTTGGTGGGATGGTAGCCCTGCGCACAGCGGAGCATCTGCTGGCGCCCCCGCCGCCCCTGTCAAAAACAATACAAAATGTTCGCGGGCCTCGCGAACATGACTCAAGAGTTTGCCCCACCATGTACTTTGCAATGTTTTTTGATCGGGATGGTGAGGGGGGCCGCATCGGGTTAGCCGCGCATGCTCTCAATGTGGAAGCAGAATGTGGTTTGTATTGCTTTTTGACAGAGATGGTGGGGGACGGGCCCGCGCGGAATCGGCGTGGTTCCTGGCTGGCCGCGGGCCGGGTGGGGGAGGGGGTGTATATCAATAAGGGACAATGATGAACACGTCCCCGAAGGGGAAAAAGGGAGTTAGAAGGGGGGCCTTCCTAGACCACCTACGCCCAAAAAACTGGTGGGACATAAATCAAGATTCAAGTGGGGGGCAACCCGGGCCGCTCGTAGTAACCACTGCGCAATCGGAATATGTCCTCCTACGTGCTTATTTACAATGCCGCCAATGTTGCTTGTGCCTGTCCTGGGAAATCAGTTGCCCGATACCGGTGGTACTATTTTAGCGTCGCGTAACAATGGTAACCCATGGGCGACGTTCAGATACGGGACCACAAGGTCGATTCGTCGATGATCATGTGGGGAAACTGGCACATGAGTGCGATCAAGCTTGCGCTCCACGTTCCTGTCGGGGATAATGCCGCCCGCCTCCACGAATACCTGCCTCCAAGCTACCGCCAACTCTGTGTGTCGAATGTGTGTGTGTGTGTGTGTGTGTGTGTGTACGGCTCTCCGTCGTGGAAGCAAACAGTACATGACCGTGCGGGTTTGGCCCGTCATGCGACACAACAATTCCCAATCGTCTTCGCACCACGCATAAGAGCTCCGTGTTGGTAAACGTCAGCGCAAGATTAACAAGGCAGATCAGTAGCCATGTTGGCTTTGCCGGATGAGGCGGCATTCGCACGTGTACTCGGTAGTGAGAGGAGGCGGGCGAACTTGCCATTCACATACGTCTGAAACATAGAATTGCCATTCATGTTGCCGTTGGCCCAGCATTTGTTAGGTGTTAGGGGCGTTCTGGGGGCCAGGCCTCAGCAGCAAGGTCAACCCAAGACGGCCGTTCAGTCCATCCAACGGCATCGCAAGACCTCCCCGAATTCACTGCTGCAGCTGAACACAGTGGGCCTGCTCGATGTCCTGTTGCAAACGCTGTTAAATACGTAGTTTCTCTTCAGCCGCACTCGCGCGGATGACGAGTCGGGAGGAGGTCAAATCATATACTTCCGAAGGGAAGTGCAGGAATGACGCTGTTTACATCGACGAAATGTCAAATCTAATACGATTGTCCCGTCTTGAAGCACTCTTGGGGGTCCTCTTGGATATTTGTTGGGGGCGTCTTCGGGGCGTCCTGGGCTGTGGTGAAGCAGCTTGGGCCGTGTTGGAGCCCTGGTGGGCCGTCCTGGGGGCATCTTAGCGTCCCCTTGGGTGCTGGTTGGGACCCTGCGTGGCTGCGTGGGGAGTATTCTGGAGCCCTGTGAAATCCTCTCAAAGCCTCCCTGGCGGGGGGGGCACGGGAGTGGGAACCCACGGGGCGTGGGACCCGGTTTCTCATATGAGAACACTGATTTGATGTAAAAGCGCGCAGGAGAACAATGGCTTGTGATTCTCGGGGCCCTCTTGGGGTTCGTCTTGGGGCCACTTGCTGGCCTTTTGAAGCCTTCTTGGGGGCGCTTCGGGGGCCGATCGGGGCCGTGCCAACACGGAAAACTCAAGGTGTCCGTTTCGCGCTTTTCTGGGCCCCCTTTTGGGGCCGTCTTCGGTGACCTTGAGCAGTCATGTTGGCCTATTGGGCCGTCAAGCGCGCTCTTGGGTCGTCCTGGGGCGGCCTTGGGGGCCTGTGGGGCAGTCATATAGGGTTGGAAGGTCGAAACAGCGGGGAGGTACCCAAATGTCCACGAGGGGTCCAAAGGGCTGGAAACACGCAACTCGTCCATACAATGTATAGGCGCGAAACCTTCGGAACAAGCCCAACGACCATTTCATGTGGACGCCGGGGGCATTGTGGTTGCATTTGGCCAAATCCCCCGCGCAAGGGGCGGGCCTTTCAAACAGACTGATTATGATATTTGTGGTCGGTAGCATGAAACATACGGTGAACCAGCACAGGCCAAATTCTTGACCCAATTTCAATGCAAAACACATGCTCCACGGCTGAGGTGATCTACCGCGCTTCCTCTTTGCACCGTCTTCTTTGCATGGGAAAGTATTTCAATGCTAGTATACGCCACCAGCCCTCTGGTCGTAGGTTGTCTAACGAGTTGTTTTTTTCCTCTCCCAAAGCCCTCTTCCCCTTAGGGAGGGGTGCCCTCCCCCTCCCTTCCCTGAGGTTTTTCGGGCCCACTCGCGAGAGGTTATAGCCTCCAAGATGGTCCAAGATGGCTCCGAGAGGGCCTCCGAGGCTCCAAAATTGCGTCCAAACTGGCTCACGATACCTCAGGATATTTCAAGACGGCCTCCACCATGCCCTCACGAGGCTCGAGAAGAACCACATAATGGTTCCAATTGCTTTCGAAGACCCCCGCGGACCCCGGAAGAGGCCAACATCGCTTCTAAACTGGAAGGGCAATCATGGATTTTCGTCTTCCCGCCTTGTCGCCTCCATTGGGTTTGAAGGCCTCGATGAGGTCCCAAGGTGGCCCAACAAAACCACAAGAAGTGCCGCGCAGCCTCCTAGACGGCTCCGAGAATGCCCAAGAGCGCCCCAAGAGACGCTAATCAACGTTCCCTGAGGGGGAGGCGAATTTGGGATCTCGTCTTTCGACTGACGCCCTACAACATGTCAGAAAAGAGGCCCTCCAAGGCCCCCACAAGGCTCCCCAGACGGCTCCACGCTATTTCACAAGAGTCGGACCCCAGAACCTTCCACGAGGGCCCCAAGAGGACCCAAAGAAAACCTGGAGATCGTCTTCGTTTTCCTCGTCCTCGTCTTCTTTTTCGTCGTCGTCCTCCTCCTCGTGCTCGTCCTCCTTCTCCTTCTCCATATCCTCGTCAACATCTTTGGTCTTGCCCAGATCGTCGTCCCCGTTGTCCGCCTCCTCCTCCTTCCCGCCGTCCTCCTCAACGGGGTCTCGAGAGAGCCCCAACAAGAGCCCAAGAGGGTACCAAGAAGACCCAACCATTCATCTTCCGGAGCGGCTGTTCTGCAACATGCTTCTACGCTTCTCTGATCAAGGCAACTCGCCCAGCGATCGCTTCTACATGGGATGGTGGGAATATGGCAAGCGTCAAGAATGTATCAAGAATTTATAAGAAACGGCGCATGAGAGTACAAGCAAAAACCGACGATGGACCCGAGACGGCCCAAGAGTCCCGCGAAGCTCCAACAAGTCACCCAAAAGCGCCCCAATAATCCAAACTCATATGATGCCGGAGGAACACCCCAACCAGAGTCTTGTTTGATCTTACATGAGATCCCTTTGTAATTGCTCCTTAGGTTTATGAAGTCTGCGAGGGCTATGAAGGCCATCAGGGCTATAGGGCTATAGGGCTATAAGGCTGTAAGGCTATAGGGCCGTAGGGCTGTAGGACTATAAGGCTATTGGACTATAGGGCTATATGGAAATACGGCTATAGGGCTGCAAGGCTATCAGGCGATAGGGCGATAGAATACCCGGGCACCCGGGCAATCCCCGGGCACCTCCGGGCACCCCTGGCCACCTCCGGGCACCCCTGGGCACCTCTGGGCACCCCGGGGGGCACCCTCGGGCACCCGGGCACGGCCACCGAAATCGGCGACGTAGGTCACCTACACATATGAATCCGCTAGGAGCCCTACAGAGGCAAGCTCTGATTTGGGAAGATTGTCCATGGATTTTTTGGTACATTTTAACGTTCTCGCCTCGACGCTCCGAAACCGCCCAAGGGGCTCCAATATCGTTCCGATGCGGCCCAATCGCCCCCATAGAGGGTCCCAAGACTGCCTACGAAGGCCCCGAGACGGTCCAAGAGGCCCCCGAGACGTTCCCAAAAGAGGGGCCCAAGAGGAGGAACACGAACTTACATTCCAAGTACTCCGCCACGAGATCGCCAGCAACCCCCTAAGAGGCCGCCGAGATGCTCCCAAGAGTTCCCCTGGAGGCCACCAACATTACACAATAAGCCATATAATCTGTATCTTCGACCCAGGCACGGTGGTGGGATGGGCCAGAAGCCATTCGAGAAACATCCGAACCCCTACCAAGTTGGCAGAGGAACCATGCCGACACCCCCCAACATCCCTCACGGACACCAGTACAGAACACACTCTTCGGTGAAATCTAAGACCATGCGTAGGGGCCCCGTGACCACTGTACATTGTGGTCCCACACGATAGCGTCCAGCACGACAAGGTCCGACACGACAGGGTCCAACCCGATAGGGCCCACAACATCTGATCCCATACACGAGGGTCCCACACCGAAGGTCCCACACAACAGGGTCGCACTTGCGAAAGGGTCTCACGCGCGATAGGTTCCAACACAATCTGCTTGAGATGTGTTCCATGCGAAGGGTCTGACTCGATACAATCTCACACGACGGTGCCCTTCGCAATAGGGCTACACACGATGGAATCCCATGGGTTACCCCCCCGTACCTCGTAACTTTACTTAGCTCGGGGCACTTTCTGCCCACACCACCTCAATTTTATGTGAACCGTGTGTGGTGTGCATGCGTACCGAAACCAACATGCCGTGCTTCTGTCATCAAGTTTTTCTACGCACGTGCACGTACCGATTGTGGGTGAACATTGGTCTTTGCGGAGAGCTTTCGGAACACGCGCCTTGACGAATCACCGAACGTGATACTACCTCTACGACGCATAGTACCTTGTTTGTTTACGGAAGCCCGATACTCGCTCTCCGGTTTTCGGTCTGTATTACAACTGCGAAGCCATGATTCCAAGCGTGAGCCTTACGACGCAATGTTTGCAACAATGCGTTCACACGTAACTGAACTATGTATAAACAACTGATGGCGGGCTACCAGAGCCATACTACGCGATCGCCAACGCCATGTATGATCTGCGTCGGCGCATCGCGTATGGCGACGTGCGCGGAAAACCGACAACAAAGAGTAACAGTCAACCCGGTAACAAAACTCGCCACGCGTGACTGTATAACCAACAAGCCATAAAACCACCGCCTTGCATGGAAACGCACATGTACAACAGAGGCTGATGAAACCCTGATGACGCATCCAAGAAAGATGCTGGATACGCCAGCGCTGCCAGACCGTAAACACAATGCACGAGGCCAGGTGTGGTACACGAGTGCGTCACGACGCTCATACAAACGACCAAGTGCCTGGACATGAGTTCATGACAGGTTTTCACCAACCAGCGCCAAGGTGCCAAGCTCTCTTGTGCATAATAAAGCTTCTGGTGCCACCTGCTTCTTTCGACACGCCATGTACGCTCTGGCACCGCCAAAATTCAATCGACCACAATGCACTCGTTCCATCTTTGGCAATACGAAGGTAAACAAATGAGATGCCCAGTGTAAACAATGACTGAACAAACACAGATGCGTGTTACCGATCCTGAGCGGAAAACCATGTGCAAGCAAGAGCATTCCATAGCGAGGCGCAAAAACTACCGTGCGTGTTTAGATACAGATCGAAGTCCCACAATCTCTACACCTGGCTGGATGAATAATGAATGGTCGGTATTCGGACATGGGTGGTAACGGAGCGCAATGGGTGGAGTACCACTTATAGCGTCAAACGGGACCGATCATCCAACGTCACGAACTTACGGGAACGACCGCAACATGAAACCTCAAAAAACACTTCAACGACACACAGTACATTTCACTCGAAATTCCGACCGTCTACACTGAAATAGTGCGACATTACACAATCAGACAACCTCAAAGAACGAACGCACATACGGAAGAGGCCCCCGAAGCATTCACTCAACACTGACTGCAAAGATGACGCCACCAGCTGTCCAACTTCCACCTTGCGGGACATTGATGGCGCTCCCCTCCCCGCAAGCAGATCGGCGACCCACGAGCCCACGGCGCTGCGACGTGTCAGACTCTGGTAGGCGGCCACATCATACTGCAGCAACCTTCATAGATCCCCAGTGGCAGTCTGATGGAGTCGAGCCACTAATAGCTAACCCTTTTAATCAACATCTTACCGAACCAAAGCGGCAAAATGTTTCTATATGCGTGGCGTGATGTGTGCAAGTGTAACGCTAAACGCCATGATCATGGTACTGCGACGGACAAGGGAGTGAACTACCAACTGGACATCTGAAGTGGCCGCAATGATGCAGAGGAAAAGCGGGAGCAAGACGTAGCAAACAAAACCCATGCAACGCCGACAGGCTTCAACGAACTATGGACTCACATAATGTGGATGAGAGCGACGGGCGTCCGAGAACGCTTGGTATGGACGCACCACAGCGGCTTAACATTGGCAGAGCTGGTACTTCGAAAAGTCGGCCGTGTCTGAAGACGTTCCTTACATGTGGACTGTGGCATCACGCTGCTTTTTTCAGCCGAAGCTCCGCGGGATCACCGAAAAGAGTTGCAGTGCCGAACTGACTCGCTAGTTCGTCCATTGCGTGCTGTCAGTTCGCTCGTTGAGCATGCCTGTTGCAAGGTACCACCGTCGACCACCTGCTTCCTTAACCCTACACTGAGGACGAAGCCCAGGAGCGGGGTGCATATAGGGAGGGTCTTCTCAGAGCCTCAACTTCAGCAGGTTTTCCATCAAGCTATACTCCTCGCGGCTTACCAGGGAGTTTTTGCAACAGTATGAGGACTTTCAATTGTGCGCCAGCCATGGCTCTGTTTACAAACTTCCCACGAGATAGTCTGAATGATTTGGTCGCGACTCTAACACCACATAGGTTGCATCGCAAAGTGTTGCACTATGCATGGACATATATACAAACGTAGTGATGTGTGTGCGTTGCAACACATGTGGAACCATAGTAAAGGTTGGGCCTTTTAGCGTCGCGGCATTCGCAATGGCGGCAGCCTGAGCAAGGTGTCTGCATATGAGGTTCATGCGCAGACCCCGCAACGTTTCGCTCAACGGACAGCCGTGGGAGACCCCTCGGGAGGTCTCGAAAAGACCGTGCCGGTTTGAACCGACCTTCGGATTTCCGACCGCGTCGGTAGCTGGGGCCTCAATCGCATTTAAATCGCCCCGCGGGAGGTTGAACCGTTCCAGACAGCAGTAAGCCATTGCTGTGACATGTTTGGGGGAACCACCCGGATATCAAACGAAGCCAAAAAGGGGCGACGGGCGGAAGCATCGTCTCCGATCCTGAAAAGACGAGCCTCCGCACCTAAATTGATAGTATGGTTACCAATGTGGCGCCCCCCACTAAAGGCCTTACTGAATATCGTGGGCATGCTGTTTTGCTGCTCGGCTAAGGTGGATGTCAACAGTCTCGGCGAGGTCTTTACTGTCGGTGCTCATCCAACCAAACTGGCGCAGGCTGTCGGAGTCCCGCGCGCAGTCGATGAGATCCTGGGGATCGCCGCCGTCGGGGATGAGGGCGCAGCAGGGATGGTTGAGACCCTCGAGCCTCCTCGCAGAAAGACGCGTAAAGTCACCCCGTGCAAAAAGTCTGGGTGGCTGCTGGAACGGCCTGCCAAGCTCCGCGCGGGGGCCCCGTCGGGGCAGGGGGGCGGGGCCCGCCCGATCCGCGCAGCTCTCGCGAGGCCATCGGCAAGGAAGGTCGGGGAAGGTCGGGGAAGGGAACGTGAGGCAGCGGGGCGTCGAGGTAGGCCGAGGTGGCCTGCTCCGGGCACGTCGCGGCCGAGAAGGTGGGCAACCCGTGCTCCTTGATGGCGGCGGTCATGGCGGACGGCTCGGGGATCGCCTGACCATGCACAGGTTGAGAGTGTCTGAGGCCGTGACGAACGAGCCGCCGACGAGCAGGGTTCCAAACCAGCGACTGCCATGTGGACGTCTCCTGCGCCTCTGTGTGTTCGTGTCCCTGCTGGTGAGTCGTGGCATTGTGCCGTGCGCCCATGTCGAGAAGCGCGGCGCGCAGATTCCTGCGCCGCCCCCACGGAGCGCGGCTGGTTCGCGGCTGGGGAGAGCTCGAGAAGCTCTGCTGCGCGAGCAATGTGCTCAATGGAGCGGGCTGTCGGTGGCCAAGATGCGCTGCGCGATTTCCGAAGTGGATTGGCATCTTTTCACAAGACTGCCCGTGCGATGGCCCCGGGCGTCGCGCGCTGCAGCTCGGCAGCTCCAGCGGCAAAAGAGAATCTCAGTCCCCCCGGCATCTCGTCCCGCGCGGGGCCGGCAGACGTGGTCGCGAGCTCCTCCGTCCGCTTCCGCGGCGCGCGTCGGGGCGCCCGAGCTGCGCTGCGCCGGCGCAGCGTCGTGGGGTACCTCGGGGGCGGGGCTGTCCGAGTGGGGCCGGGGCGCGCCTCGCCGATCCAGCGGGGCGGGCCTCCGCGGGGCAGCGCGAAGAGTGGTGATGGCGGGGCCCGATGGCGGCCAGTCAGAGGGGGCAGGCGCCCCGTGGGTGAAGTCCACCGCAGTCTCGCAGTTCGCGGCAAAGTGCGCGCCCAGCGAGGCGAGCGTCGTGTCTGCCGTGCTCGGCGTCTCCGTGGATCTCGCGCAGTGCGCTGGCAAGGGGCTCGCGATCTCCAGCGCGCCGCGCTGGGGCAGGCCATGGCGGAGAGGTTCGTTCTCAGAGGCGCGGCCACCTTGAGCGAACCGAGCTTGTCGGCGCGTTGAAATCACCAATGCCCAGGGCAAGCTGAAAAGGCTTCAAATATTTTGGCCCAGTGAAGCTTCTGAAACCGTCGCTGCCTGATGCCGCCCGAGCTTCGCGAGGAATGCCATAGTTATGCATGTTGAAGGGGCGAACTTCTTCACTGGGCGAAAGGTTACGAATCGCCAGGTATTGAACGCGTCCTTGGGCGAGACCCGAGTGATCGAATATAAGCAAGTGCTCAGCTGGAACACGCAGCAGTGTGTCGGGGGGGGGGCAAGGCGCGAGTGGCCGCCCCGCCTCTCCCATTTTTCGCGAAGCCTGCATTGATGACCTTGTAGTGGATGTTGCGTGGCTGGTGCGCGCGCAGAGTGTGATTTCATTGCGGTGGAGCTCCTGCAAAGGAACGGCCGTCCACTGTAGCATGAGCTTCTTGAGCTTGGCCAACTTGGAGCACCGATGTTTGTGGTTCCAGCGGCGAAGACCTCGCGCGTCCCATGTCGCAGCGCGGCGCAGCTCCTGAGAGCCCATCATCTCGATTCCCCTATGCAAGCCACCTCCTCTGCTGGGACGGCGCCCATGCCGACGCGTCGGCCACCTGGAGGAGCTGGCGGAATCTGTGCCCGACCGCGATGTGGTCGATGCTGGGCTGGGCAGCTCCCGCTGGCGACCAGGCCAGACGCGCGGGCTCGTCAACGCCTTGCGGTGCCACCTCCACCGCGGGAGTAGAATCGGCGTTGACGAAGCTACGCGGCCGCAGACTGCACCATCCCAGAACGGGCTTAGCGTGCTGAGTGGTGCCGAGCTGCCTCTTGCATTGAGTCCACGTCGGACTGCTTTGAGGCTCGTGTCGGGCTTAATGTATGTGGCGTCGCTCGCGCCGCTGGCTGAGACTGCGCGAAATTGACGCCGCGTGCCGCCTGGGCGCTGGAGCCTGTGGGAGAGGGGAACCGCGCGAGCCGCGCCAGGACCACCACTGTGAAGACGACTGTATCATTCTTTATAAAGGGAATGCCCATGAATGCTCAGCTTCTCTGGCTCAATCTCAGAGGCTATGATCCGCCCGTCGACGGCGACTTAGATTTCAACAGTCGCCATGGGGAGCGAGCCACCGATGGGGGAGAGGCTGGGGGCAGGTGGCCTGTCGTATGACGCCGATCTGGCAGTGGCAATGCTGCCATCAGCTTCTTCACGAGCCTGCGCCAAGGGGCGCTGAGCTTCCTCGAAACCTTGCTGCATGGTGCCTTGCCACTGTTCAACAGAAGTGCGACTCTGGAGGTGCTGGTATTCCACACCGTGCTGGTCCGAGCGCGCCTTCTGCGGCCTGAGGAGGCCCACAACCGAGTCTTGGAAGCCGGTGTGGGCGGTGGCCATGATGCCGGTAACCTTAACGCGCAGAAGCGAACTCAGACTGTACCACTCCCTTAATGCGTTCAGCGTCCAATCCAGCACCATGTGCTTCATTTTCAAAAGTAGATCGAACGGAAACACGCGGGGCAACATCCCGCCCTTGATATCCACGGACAGACCGAGAAACACAATCACCACGAGCCACCTGCGCTCACGGCGACCCTCTTTCCGTCGAAGACGTGGGCGCAAGTCCTTGCCAAAATCGCTGTGCCTGCTCTATTGGGTGTCATTCGAGCCGTCGCTGGGCATGAATTGTCCTCACCTGCGGCTGCAAGAACTGGATATGCGTCAATTTACCTACAGCCACGGGTGAGAGGTGTCAGGACGAAAAATAGCTCGCAACGGCTGGGCAGCTCAGCCCGCCTCGAGGGTTGAGTGGTGTGAGAACGCGGTGGTCTGGCCTCGGACCAGAGGTACCTACTTGTTTCCCAAGGGACGCCATGGTCTTGAGCCAAAGCCGTTGCGGAATGAGGAGGAGGAGGAAGAGGATAACGATACGGAACGCTGCGTAGGGGAATGAGGGGGCTTTTCTGTAGCCTCGGCGAGCCTCGATCCCGAATTCGTTCGCCGACCGAGACGGTAGCGTCGCAGGCCTAGAGGTTGACACCAACACCAAGATCGGCGGTGTGCCTCCACCGAGGGAAGAGGATCCCGATCTCGGTGATGGTGGTAATATTCTGGCTTCCAGGGTGACCGAAACATTGCCACCTGCACCGAAATCTAGGATCGTCTCCCCCATGTGGAGGCAACTTCCTGTGTTGGTGCTGGTGCCAATTTCTAGGCCTCCAAGAGCGAGCGATGGTGAGGAGGGAAAGGATGAGGATACCCATCGGTCGGAAGAAGTAGGTAGAAACATGAAGTAGGAAGGCGCTGGAAGTAGATTGGGTGTCCGCTCGCCCCCTGAAGAGGACGGAAGAGGTGAAGCCACTCGATCATCGAAGTAGGAAGGCGCTGAAAGTAGATTGGAATCTGGGAATCCAAAAATACCTACTTTCAACGACCGATGGGTACGCCGTGCAGCCCTCGTGCTATCGTATGGGCCGCCGGATGCCGAGCGGAGGGCTTCTTCTCCGGCCACGGCGGGTCTCAGGCCCCGCAGAGGCTCCCCCCCGGCCCGACTGTCGCGGCCCGCCCGAAGACCAGGAGGCCCTCCTGAGCCCAGCGGGATCCTTACTTCGGCGTCGTGGCTGCCTCCTCCTCCTCCTCCTCCTCCTCGTCCTCCTCCTCCTCCTCCTCCTCCCCCTCCTCCCCCTCCTCCTCCTCCTCCTCCTCCTCCTCCTCCCCCTCCTCCTCCTCCTCCTCCTCCCCCTCCTCCTCCTCCTCCTCCTCCTCCTCCTCCTCCTCCTCCTCCTCCTCCTCCTCCTCCTCCTCCTCCTCCTCCTCCTCCTCCTCCCCCTCCCCCCCCTCCTCCTCCACCCAGAGGGCACCGTGACAGACGCGCTGGCACTTGCCAGGCGTCGAGGGCGACGATGCTCTTTCTGCTAGCGGTCGCAAATGCTAGAAGAGAGCCCTGTAAGACTGAGCGTCCGCTCTTTCCCGAAGTCGGTGGGCATCCCACGCCAGCCCTTCTCGGGCTGCCGGAACTTCCCCGTCTCCCGCAGACCCTTCCTCCACTGCTTGTACTCCTGCTCCGCCTCCTTTGTCTTGAACCCGTTGTCCTTGAAGGCGACCGCGTCCGAATCCTTGCGCCCCGCGCCCCCGAGGACTATCATCTGCAGGGGCACACGGCTCGGGGCCGGGAGCCAAGCAGCCCAGCAGGCCCACAGCCCCCCCCGAGGCGGCCGCGAGCGAGCCCACCCCGGGCGGGGCCTCAGTCCCCCCCCCCCCCCCCCCGGCGGAGGAGCTCGGATCGGGACGAGGGCGCGCTCGGACGAGGGCCAGTCGGACACCTCTGGGGCCTCCCGGAGGCTCCTCGTCGCCGCGGCAGGCCTCGCCGCGGGGGCGTGGGCCAGGGTGGGCGCCGAGGAGGCGTCCGGGAAGTGACCTTGAGCGGCTTTGGGCCGGCCGCACAAATCGCCAGGTCACCCAACTTCGCGCACCGCGCCCCGCCCCGCGATGCGCGGTTACCCTCACGCCTTCGCGAGGCCATCTTGGAGAAGGGCAGCTCTCTGGCCGAGGCCGCGACGCGCGAGGTGAGGCTACCTTCGCGCCCCCTGAGGTGATTGAGCAACCCTGGACCGAGCTCTCGAGTCCTTCGGGGTCATACGGCCAGTGGGCTCAAACCCACAGGGTTACGGCCCCGCAGGGCCGCAGGTTCCCAGCTCCGGATAACCCGACACCCAGCCCTGCGAATGCACAGCCGAGGTGTGAAACGCGTGGTCGTCGGCATCCATTAGGAAGTACAGCTCGTTCAGATCCGCCAGTCCCCATTCTGGTGGCCACAAGGCAGCGCGGCGGATTTAGCAAGGCTGCAGCCCAGCAATACCTCCCGCTGCCTGAATTGCTTATACCACGGAGCTTCAGAGCCTCAGGAGTGGGCTCAACTAAGCCCGCTGAGAGCTCATATCCTCAGAATTCCCTGGCATCTCCGCTGTTTAGTTTCCCACCTTGTCAGAACTCGTGCGGACTCCCAGGGCCAGGATGAGTCAGGGTCGCGATGCCGTGCGCCAGGACGCTGGAAAAACAGATGGCTGGATTCACACGCGGAACATGTGGAGGCCACGCGGTGGACACGTGCGGAAGCCTAGCGCGCCTGGGCATCGAATGACCGACAGCTGGAAAACCATGCTGCCACACGTGTGTCTAGCTCTCGCCCAAGCTGACCGCGTCATTCGTAACTATCCGGCTCCCTTGTGGAATCCAAGCGGATCTGCACTCTCAAGGCCACGACCCCTGGTAAGATACGACGGTTCCATATTTCCAGGGCCACGATCCTTTTCAAAACCTGTTTCGGGCACAGCGGGAAGCGCTGCTGTTTGAGCGGCTTGCTGCCGTTTGCTGCTGCTCTCTACCACTTGGGCCTTCCTTCTTTGCAACCTCTTGGGGCAATCTCGGGGCCTCGTGCACCGTCTTGGGACCTTCTGGGGCCGTCAGCAGGCTCTCTTGGGAACCTCTGGTGCCACCTTGGCGGCCTTGTAGGGTCTCTTAGGGTCCTCTTCGCGGCCTCTTGGACACTCTCGAGCCCGAGCGCGTCTCGGGACCCTTTAGGGGCTCTCTTGGGCCGCCTTGAAGCTTTCTTGGGCTGTTTTGGCCCCCTCTGGATGTTCACCTGGGCTGTCTTCGCTGCCTCTGGGGGCCTTCTTGGTCCATTGTGGGGCGGCTCTTAGGGCAGCCTGAGCAGTCTTGGAGCATTTTTAATTTAAATTAAAGTCATGCCCATCCGAACAAATACGAAGACACGACATACTGGAAGGCAATGTTTGCCAGCGTGGGCCCAAGCAGATGACTTATTGCACTCTGGATGTGTCAGCTATGTGGAACACGCTACGTGGTGCATGCTATGTGGTGCAAGATATGTGGTCCAGGCTATGCGGTGCAAACTTTGTGGTGCAAGCTATGTGATGGAAGCTATGTGGTGCAAACTAGGTGGTACAAGCTGTATGATACAAGCTATGCGGTGTATGCTATGTCGTACATGCTACGTGGTGCAAATCACGTTGTGTAAGCTGTGTGATGCAAGCTGTGGAGCAAGCTATGTGGTGCAAACTTATGTGGTGCAAGCTGTGTGGTGCAACTTGCATAGTCCGACGTATGTCGTGTAAGCTGAATGGTGCAAACTGTATGATGCAAGCTGTGTCAGCTATGCAGTGCAGGCTGCGCGGTGCAAGCTATGTGGCGCAAGCTGTGTGGTGCAAGCTGTGGGGTGCAAGCTGTGCGCTCCGAGCCATACCATGTAAGCTCTGCGGTGCAACGGGTGTGGCATAAGCTACGTGGTGTAATCAATACGTCGCGCACGCTATGGCTGGGCAACCAACGAACACCTCGGAGCTCCTGACCAGCGCACGCGGCCACGAGGCGCCTACGGCCGGGCACCAGCCGCAACTCCAGAACTCCTGCCCAACGCACGGGGCGTCCACGAGGCGCCAGCGGGCCGGGCACCTGCCGATTACCATCGAGATCCCGGCGCCGACAGCACACGGGGCGCCCGCGAGGGCCTCTCTTCGAGCCTCTCGTGTCGGCCTTCGCGCGCTCTCGGGCCCTCCTTGCACCCTCTGAGCGCTCCCAAGGCATCCTGCGCCGAAAACTCTTCGAAGCAAAAACATTTGGAACACCACAGTGTCCGCGATCCGCCTCTCTGCCTTCCGCACGCTGGGGCGTGTTAGAACCTGGGCCAGCACGGGAACGGAAAAAGCGGTTCCGTGGAGCCTCCCCGAGAATGCTCATGATGGCACCGTCCGCTCACGGGAGCCTTGGCGTTCCGACGGTTTGTGGCGTCACTGTTTGCCCATGTGAGCCTTAGTAGTAAACGCTTTTGACATCACCGTTCGCCCTTGGGAGCCTTGGTGTTAAGCGCTCTTTACGTGACAGTCGTGTGGGAAGGCGGGTCATGGTGGAGGCCTCCGGGACACGGCCGGAAGAGGTGAAGCCCACGGTCGCATCGCAGCTCGGAGGGCGAGTTGATACCACGGCGGCGACACAACAACTGACAAATCGGGTCAGAATCGGTCCCGGACCCCTCGAACTGTTCGAACGCCGATGTTTTCCAACGTGCTTCCAGCCGTGGCAGCGAAGCGGCCTTCGAAAGTCCCAAAGGCAGCCAGAGGCTCGGAGAGGCATCTGGAAGCCGTCTTGGAGGCCTCTTGAGGGTCTTCGTGGCCGTTTTGGGCCCTCTTGGACCGTCTTGGGGGGTTTAGGTCAGCATGGGGCGCCCACGGGGCTCCCTTGGAAGCCTCCTGTGGCCTGCTTGAAGCTCTCCTGGGAGCCTCTTGGGCCTCTGTGGGGCCCTCCTTGGCCCGCCTTGGGGCTGTCGTGGGCCGTCTTGAAGCTCTCTTGGAATGGTCTCAGGCCCTCGGAGGCCCCAGAGGGCATCTTTGGCAATTTTTGGCTCGAGAACGCGAACACCCCCCAAACCGTCAAAAGCCTAAGAGAAATGGACTGTTTTTGCATCTTGAGTCCCTCTTAGAGGTCGAGGTCCTCGTGGGGGCCTCTTGGGGCGTTTTCTGGGCTCCTGGGGCCGTCTCGGTCGTCCCTCCTGGAGCGCTCTTGGGTCGTCTTGGGGCCTCTGGGGCGTCGCTTGGACCGCCTTGGAGATATCCTAAGCCGTTCTGGGAGCCTCTTGGGTGTCTCTTGGACCGTCCTGGGCCGAAAAAGCCGCCAACGTGGCCCCCAGAGGGAGTGTTAGAACCTGGGCCGGCACGGGAACGGAAAGAGCGGGTCCGTGGAGCGCATATTTCACACGGTCTCGGGGGTTCGGCGGCCGTTTACGCGGCAGCGATTTGGGCATAGGGATTGCCATGCATGTTTGTTGGAGGAAACTGAAGTGCGAGTCACGGCAGGACGGCCGCCGTGGTGATCGGATCTGTTATGTCACCGTCCGCTGCGAGGAGTCTTGGCGGTCAGAGTGTTTGACGGCACGGTTCGCTCTGGTGGGGCCTCGTAAAAGGCTCTTGGAGGCATCTCGGAGTGCCTCTTGGAGGCCAATCGGGGGTCTTTTGGGCCGCTTGGGGGCCTTCTGAGGCCCTCTTGGACCGTCTTGGGGGGCTTGGGCCGGCTTGGGGCGCTGTGGGGGCCCTCTTGTGAGCCTCCTGTGGCTCCCTTGGGGCTCTACTGGGAGGCTCTTCGGCCTCTGTGGGGCCCTCCTTGGCCCTCTTGGACCGTCTTGGGAGCTTGGGCCGGCTTGGGGCGCTCTCGGGGCCCTCTTGTGAGCCTCCTGTGGCTCTCTTAGGGCTCTCCTGGGAAGCTCTTGGGCCTCTGTGGGGCCCTCCTTGGCTCGTCTTGGGGCTCTCCTGGGCCGTCTTGAGACGCTCGTGGACCGTTTGGGAGCCTCTGGGGACGTTTTGGTGCGACCTCGAGGCCCACAGGGCCATGTTTGGCCGTTTTTGTCCCGAAAAGGCGAGAACCCCAAATCCTTAAAAAAACCTCAGGGAAATCAGTGGTTTTGGTCTCCGGTGTCTCTCTTAGAAATCTTCGTGGGGGCCATTTAGGCCGTCTGGGGGGCTTCTTGGACCGTCTTGGGGCCATCTTCGTCCCTTTTGGAGCTCTCTTGGGCTGTCTTGGGGCCTCTTGGGCGTCTCTTGGGCCGTCTTGGAAGTATCTCAAGCCGTCTTGGGGGCCTCTTGGGGGTCTCTTGGACCGTCCTGGGCTGAAAAACCGCTTTCATGGCCTCTGGAAGGCGTGTTAGAAAATTGTCCTCCGCCACGCCCCTCCCCCCCCCAGTGGGGCTAAAGTCCTATACAAAACTTCTCTCGCTGGCGCTCTTTGTCAATTCTGCGCGGTTCCCCCCCTAGACCCCCCCCATTGGGGCTAAAACCCCGTGCAAAACTTCTCTCGCTAGCGCTCTTTCCGTCATGCCTGGTAGTTGCCTGGTAGGGCTTCTGCAAGTTGTCTTTGAAAGAACTTCTGCGACTTTCAAGGGGCGCCGCCCCCTACTAACGATCGTCCCCACAGAACCGCCTCCAAGATTTTGCACGAATGCAGAATACGGTGAGTGCTCTCGACGATTCTGGCAACACTTCTAGTTTGCCATGTCGCTCGGTTGTGGCTGGCACGGGACATGCGCAGGACGACCCGGCAGATGGTGAGCGGCCCCTACGAGAAACCCAGAAAGAACCGCCCCGAAAGAGCCCCAATACAGTCCAACGATGGCATAAGAGGGTCCCTACAGGAGCCGATCTCATGTAACTGGATTCCCCCAGCCGTCCCCAGACCACTCGCGGTAGCCAAAACTCTAGCGCAGACTATCAAATTTCAAACCGATTCTCGGCTATGCGTTTGTTGGCTCTCCCCACACGGCAACGAGCTCTGCGCAACCTTTGGACGACGGCGGTGGGCCCAGTAAGCATGAACCGCTCATCGGCCAAGAGTGCATTGCTGTTTTCCACAAGGGCAGAGGGCGCAGTGATTCGCCGTAGGCGTCTTGGATAACCCATCTGTCTGAACTTGCTGGCGTTATAAAGGATAGGGCCCCTGTTCCCCGTCGGCCGCACGAAGAAGGTGCCCGACTTTCTCACCAATTCTGGGTCGAGCGGTCGATCCCTCTGGTCATCCAAACACCGGCCCACCCTGCCGCCCGGTAATCCACGCCATCCGTGCGCGCAGTTGGCGGATATGCCGAAGACGTCGTCATATAAGCGCGCGGGAAGCGACATGTGGACATTCCACCCGATCTGGGTCATTACCCAGTCGTCTTGCATGATGATCAGGAACTGGCCCTCGGCCAAGATTGCACCTCTGTTATTTGAAGCAGTCTCGTATATCGCGGAAGGCTGATCGACCAGCACCGCCCGCCGCAGTGATCCGCACTGGCGAAAGAATGCGTCGCCACAAGCGGCGACACACATCTCGCGTACAGGCTCCCAGTAGCGCTGGTTCGACTTCCCAGGCGCCACGTGCCCGGTGACGCTCTTGAGAAATTCCAGGCTGCACGCCGCGGCGCTCCCGTTCCAGACAATCGGCAGGTAAGTATCGAAGGCTTTCTCGGCTCGTTGCAAAGTTTTCGCGTTGCAGCCATCGCAAAATGCAAGTAGTTCGAAAGACCCTCTCGGGGTGATCAAATAAGAAGCCAGGACAGTCACGAGGTTCTTATATCGGTTATGCATATTGACGATCAAGCTGTACTCGACGGGCGGTAACTGTAGCCTGCCTTCCGAGGAGCCTAAGGAATACACTCTTGCGCGTGGCTCTGGCTGCCGTGCAAGATCAATGGGGACTGCATTCAGCACAAGTTGAGCAGCTTGGGCAGACAAGTTCAGCAGCTGCCAGCCAGACTTCACGATTTGCTGGGCTGCCTCATGCAGCTTCACGGGGCCACCAACAACATTGCCACTCTTATTTGCTTCAGTGAACTGCTGGGAAGTATACGACTGGCCGCTGGCTTGCTGAGTCGTAGTCTGCGCATGAATCGGCTTTTGCAGTGCTGGCTGTGAAGAGGATCGTGGAGTCATTGTCTGTTCCAGAAGCGACTGTGACGGCGCTGGTTGCGAAGAGTGTTGTTCAGAAGACTGTGCTGCCGACGCAGCGTGCAACACCCTGAATCCATGTATCAAGGCCCATGGGTCAGTAACCACGGCGACTGCTATACAACCGATCCAAAACAGAAACAACAACAGACACACTTTCATAAGCGAAATCGAAATGTCGCCCAATGTGCCATACAAGCTCTCACAAGGAAACGTGGGCTTGACTTATTGAGATTTCGATGAGTTCTGATGATTTCAATAGTTTCGATGCTTCCGCGAGTCAAAGTCGCCAGACGTTTCTAGCCAAATATGCTACGGATGAACCTCTTTGGAACGATTCGTATCCGATCCGAGCTCTGTGGCCGCATGAGTCATGCGAGCAAGCGTGCTGGCGAAGACGTCCAAAACGACGAAGGCAACGACAACGACAACAACGACGTCTGTGGCACTTACTATGGGCATCTCGGCCATGATGGCATTGCCCTTGAAGGTCGTCTTAAGTCGATAACCGCTTTGGAGCGCAACTTTGCCGCCTCACTCCCGCCGTGACGTTCAAATAGAGAAGGGCGCACTCCACGCAACTAAAGGATGAGGGGACACCATGGGCAGCCAGCCTTGAAGTCGGGCACGGCCCTCTACATGAGGAAGATTCTAGGATAGTGGAAAAATAGTCTGGGGACGATTTCTCGACTATTTTGTCTGTTTCTGAATATTTTGGACTCCTTTGAGGTTTTCTTCTAAAATCCGCCTGCAGGAGGACATGCCCGACCTAAAGTCAGCCCTGCCATCCCGGGCAACTGTGCACGAGAACATACCAGCGGGAAAGTGTGGGCGGTACCGCTTGGGCGACGGCCAACCGCGGAATCCAAGGCACGCAAGCGCGGGACCGTGTGTGCGACGGCAAGCCCCGGCACCAAGGGTCAACTGAGGGCGGGGCCCTCTGGGCGACGACGACGACGACGACGAGAACGACGACGACGAGAACGACGACGACGACGACGCCGAGGGACGCCGAGCACCGGCACCCAGGGCAGCCAAGGGCGGGACCAGCACCTGAGGCCACTCAGGGCGCAGCCTTGTTGGACAAACCTGGTGGGCGACGGTCACCCCCTGCACCCGGGGCAGCAGGAGGCCCCAAACCCCGCAGGCGCGACTTGATGGGCGGGCCCCTCCGGGGCGACGGCCGCCCGTCGCAGAGACTGGCACACGAGGCAACTGAGGGCAGGACTTGGAGTACCATGTGGGACCTGCCCTAGAACAGGAACATGCCGTAGACGGATCTACCTTTTTCTCTGACCTTACACCGCGCCGAAAGCAACGGCCTCATTGTCCATAGACGTATCCACCCCGAAAGTGTCTATGGACGTCACGGCACCCAGTGTGTCCATAGACGCTTTTGGCTAGGACGTGACAACGGTATTTGGCATCGTCCCCAGATATTGGTCTTCGAGAAGCACCATCACCACCACCACCACCTTCTCCTCACCCTCCCTTTTCTTTTGTGCGCGAGGTGTTTGGTTCCTCCGCCTCTTCCTCTGCTTTCCTTGTCTTCTTTTCCTGCTCCTCCTCGTCATCCTTCTTCTCCCCCTTGTCTTCCCTCCTCCTGCTTCTCCTCCACCGGCTCCTTCTCCTCCCTGCTCGTAGTGGCGTCCAGAGGCGTTCTGCAAACATCGCTCCTCATCATTCTCGTTCTCTTCTTCTGAGCGTGAAGTGTATTTTCCACTTCTTCCCTGCTCCTGACTCTCCCTCTTCCTGCTCCTCTATCACGCTTTGCATTCCGTTCTCCTCGTCGTTGTCAACCAAAACGATAGTGCGCCGAGATAAACCCAGGATGCATAACGCGGACACCGACACATGGCTGCCCAGCTCTTGGTATCACAGGCGCAGCCGAGGCAATAATCGAAATCACCGCAAACAGACCGCCAACTATCACACCTCCGACCGCTGGACTGCTCACCCCCATCATGAGAAGCACCTGGGACCGCTGGCACGCTCACCGGCGCCACTCAAATTTGCAGAGTGGCCTGTCAGATATCTGGACATCCCTCCTGGTGTCATTTCTGGGTCGCCTACACAGCCAGTGGTAATCGAATCACGAAGGCAATCACTTCTCGGTTGCCTTCGTGATTAACCCTTGTCGAACTCAATTGGCCATTACTTTGCCACTCTGTCAATTGCCATCCCAAAGGCCCGAAGACCAGTGGGTTCCATAACCTTAGAGGCAAGTGTAGAGTGAGAAAACGTTAGCATGCTCGAGTGATGCACCGCGGACAGAACTTTGGTCCTCGCCTCCATTGCCTGAATGCCAGGTGACACGTATAACCCACCTGTCAAAGATCTCTCAATATGGGAACAACACATCAACACAAAGAACTTGATAAACGACCCAATGACCGACTTCCGAATAAAACACGCCAATGCAGCCTGACTCCCGTGCTTTTGCTTCGGACAGGCACGACAATGCGGACTGTTTCGCTCCAGACGGATAGCTCTCAGTTCGTACATCCCGCCGACGTAGTCTACATCACGACAGGGCAGGCAAGCCACATGAGACGGGATGAGGGGAAAAGGAGAACACGAATAAGATCCCCACTACAAGAAGTGGACATCGGAAGTTCTCAAGCTTTCAATGCGAAGAAGTACCAAAAACCTGGAGACACATGGCTGGATTTACACGTGGAACACGCGAAAGCCACGCGCTGCATACACATCCGAAGCCCAGCCTACCCCGCAATAGAGAGGCCGGTCGATGCATTCGGCCACATGTATCCCAGCTCTTGCCCCGGCTGCCCACGTCAACGTGTATCCAGCCTCCTGGTACAGTGCGATGTGTGCGAATAGTGCTGGCCGACGAGGACGAATGGCCTGGACCACGCCGCTGGGCCGTCTGCCGACACATATGGCGGATCTCGGAAACCCTGAACCCAAAAATGTTTTCATCTCTTGGATGCGTTTTTTTTTTTTTTTACTTACGCCGCCTTCCGCCGCACTTCCGCCGGCGGAGGCGGCCTCGTCTTGCTTCCGCCGACCCTCCGCCGGCCTTCCACCGCGGAAAAGATGACAACTCCTTCTATTCGCGAATGCAAGGCCATTTTTGGAACGCCCCATATGCATGTCTGGGATGATGTGCAGAGGACGATCACATCTACGACCTACACACAGTCCAGCGGTTATCCACCTTGACTTCATCCCCAAATACTGCTTGCACTGAGGGAGCCCTACCAAAACTTGAAACAATTTGGCCAAGTTTGCTGGCCGATTTCGGTGGGCGGCCTGATTCCCGGTTGTTGCTTCCAAGCCGATGTCGGCGGGTGGCGAGGTTTCCAGGCTTCCGGGTTCCTGGGCGATGTCCTTACGGATCGGTCTCACCATCGATCTCAATACCCACCTCTCTATCGATCTCACTGTCGATCTCACAGTCGATATCACTATAGCTCGCTCGAGCGATTTCACGATCCATCTCGCTATCGATCTCAATGAATTGACTTCACTGTCGGTCTCACGATCGACCTTCCTATCGCGCTCACTATCGATCCAACTATCGATATCACCATCGATCTCACGGTCGATCTTACAACCGATCTCAATATCCATATTACGAATTTTCAAACAATCGACTGATTGGGGTCCCTCGTTGGTGTCATCTACAAATGTAATGGAGAAACGACGCAACGATGTCGACACTTGCGCACACATGCCGTGAGCGAGTTACAATTCGACGCGGCACGCAAGCAAATCACGGATGCATCTTGCACAGTTTTGTTGTGCTTCGGGCGTCGTAGCTGGGCGGTGGCGTCGGAGTGAGAGGGCGAACAGAAGAAAGCTCGCTACAAGCGCTGGCAGCAATCACGACTACAGATCAATGGGCACAGAACGTGGTGAAACCTCATTCGATAAAAAATCGCATCCTATACGGGATTCGAACTCTGGCATCCCCCGCTTTTCCCTACATCCGTGCTTCATGCCCTCTGGGCGTAGGTGATTTAGCAGGGTGTTGTCTTTCCTCCTCCAGAACCCCTCCTTCCCCCACTTCGGGGAAGAATTATCACTGTTCCCTATTCGTATACACCACCCACCAAGCGACTGGCAGCCAACCAGGAACAATGCCGACCCTATGCTCCCCACCCCCCAAAAAACCATGTCAACAAAGAAAATACAAAGCACACTCCGCCTCCAAATTCGGAGCCTGCGCAACCAACCCGATGCGGGTCCCCCCCACCATCCCTGTCAAAACACAATACCAAGTACACTGTTGGGCAAAGTCTCGAATCATGTTCGTGAGGCCCGCGGGCACAGTGTATTGTTTTTTTGACAGGGACGGCTGAGGTGTCAGCACATTTCCTGCTGCGCGCAGGGCCACCATCCTTTGAAACAAAAATGCATAATGCACTTCGCGGCTAAATCTGGATCCTGCGCGGCCACCCCGCGATCACTGTCAAGTGGCTTTTGACAGGGACGGCGGTGGTGGTGGCGCATGGCCTGCTCTGTGCAGGCCCACGGGGCACCATGATGGGCATTGGTTTTCGATAGGGATGGTGGGGGCCGACATGTTTCCCGATGTGTGTTGTCACGTGCGCAGGCGCACCTGACACACACTCTGCACGTGCCCCGAACGTGGTGCACCTGGCGCGGCTGGAACATGCGGCACACCTGGCGCGCGTGGAGCACATAGCGCATCTGGCGCACCGGACGTGCCTGGCACGCTCGGGCCCCAGGGGTGCCTGGCGCGCGTGGCGCGCCTGGCACGCGTGGCGCACCTCGCCCAAGCGTCGCGCACATGGGGTATGTTTTGATTCCCAGTATCTGTCCATCCAAAGACGTCCGCTGAACATGCTGAGGCTCAGGTGTTACGTATGTGTTGGGAGGGCGGGTGGGAGTGAGCTACACGGCTTGCTATCTAGGAGGGTGTCTTGATCACTGTTCCCTGTTCACATACACTCCTTCCCCCACCTGGCTGGCAGCCAACCCGGAAGAATGAGGACCCTATGAGGGCCCCCCCCCCACCATCCCTGTCAAAAAACAATACAAAACGCACTCTGTCTCCAAATTCGGAGCATGCGCGGCCGCCCCGCGATCATTTTGTATAGGTATTTTACAGGGACGGCTGGGGTGCCAGCAGATCCCACCTGCCTTCTGGGCGCAGGTGGTCGACCGGCTTGTTTGACACATCAGTAAGAAGCATCGCGGATCGAAAGCTCCGCGAAGGCTTTATGGCTGACTAGCCGTCGACATCGTCGTCGTCCTCGTTGGCATCGCCTTCATCGTCGTCTCCTTCTTCCTCCCCCATTCTTCTACTGTTTCATCCTCTTCTTCTTCTTATTCTTCTTCTTATCCTCCTTCTCCCATCTTCTTTTCCTCCTCCTGTTCCTCCCAGCCCCGAGAGGGTCCCAATATCAGTCCAGGAGGGCCCCCAAGGGACCCCAATGACGCCGGTGTGGCATGGGAGCATCTGATAAATTAATCAACAATTCCCGCCGCGTCTGCGCCCGCGAAACGCTTCCAAGGCAGTTGTTACACTGCATACTTCCACACTTCCCTGATCAAGGCAACTCGACTGGCGATTGTTCGTGGATGGGCTGGTTGTTTCCATTCCATATCCCCTGTCCTCTTTGCTTCCGTGCCTCCTTCACTGCCCCACCCTGGCCTGCTACTGTCGACCTCGAAGGTTCGGGAGAGTGGTACGCAGAACAACAACTTAATTAGATAAGACTACGGCGAACCAACATTGCGAACAGCTTCCTTTATGCACCATTCTCCCTGTCGTAACCCCTCCACACGAGCAGCAGTCAATCCGTGCAAATCTGCAATCGGGCTGTACTCAGCAATCATTGCGCCAGCGGGCCCACTACAAAAAAAACAGCTCGAGTGGGTGCTCGGCGAACATCTGCGCCTTTTGCGCATTTGGGTGAAGACATCATCGCGACTGCGCGGTGCATGACCGGTCAAGTAAATCAATGATATATGATAGCCATCTGGCCACAAGCCAACCAACCGTACCAGTAAGCATGCTCTCGCGCATCAATACCTGCTTGTGTCCATACAAGCATCAACCCATGTAGACATGAGTGCGTGCATGAGTCTATACCGACGCACGTAACATGTGGCAGTAATGCACAAACGATCACTCACGCGCGCAAACACACTTTGCGGATATCGTGGCGCTAGTAAGCGCTCGCTGTCCGTGGGCCAGGCGCTCCAATCATATTCTCGCACGAACGGAGACAAGTGTACTTGTGTTCCATGTGTATTTTTACATGGGCTTTGGGGTGAAAGGGGGCCGCTGGAAAATGCGCCAAGCAATACAAAGCGCAGTGGGCTTCGCGCATATTCGTCTTGTTGATTTGCAACGGTTTCGTGGATTGGGGATGCACCGTTTTCAAAATGTTGTTCTCACCAAGGTGCCGCGTACATTCGTCTTAACAGCTTGCAGCCGCTTTAAGGATGGAGGGCGGTTTCTTTTCAAACTCTGGCTCTCGCTTCAGCGCCGCGCGCAATCGTTCTGAAATGTTGTAGCAGTCTCAAGGGCTCGTATATTGAAAGCCTAGGGAGGGTGCTCTGACACGATTTCGGTTAGGATTGTCCGAACGCAACATTAACGTTGATTCGCGGTGTTGAAATCTCGAGAACGGGTTTTTGAAACGGTCTGGGATTGTCAGGACGCAACGGTCACGCTGATTCGCGGCGCTAAAGCTCCACGAACAGTGTCCTGGCACGATCGAAGGTTCACTGGCAATTGTATTCCAATGGGGCAATTTCCGCAATGAAAATCAACTCTGGCAGAGTCCTACGAAGAAGAACTTTGGAGGGAAAGCTTATTGCAACCTCGTTGATGCGTCCTGGGTTTGCACTGATCCTCCTCCTCCTCCTCATCCTTCTGCTGCGCTCGTACCCACTCCTCCTCCTCCTCCTCCTCCTCCTCCTTCTCCTCCCTCGTCCCCGCCCCCTCCTTCGAGGAATCCCTCCCTGCTCACTCGAACGCCATCTGACGGGCAAGACACGGCAACGTCACCAGCAATGAACCCGTGCCGCGATGCCTCCCGGGGCCTTCCCTGGGCCCCCCCGCGGCGGACACAACCATCAAAAGACCTCTCGGTAACTCCTCCGCTGGGGCTCCCTCTTGTAGCTGGCCGCTGTGAAGGGCCCCCGGGGAGACTCTGAGGCCCACGGAAACCGGGAGATCCCTTCAACTTCTTTAGCCACATTTTCCAGTAGCCGCTTGCACTCTCTCAAAGCCTTGTGTGGGAGCTCTCTCGAGGCGGGTGCTTTACACATGTGTCTAGGAGGGGCTCAAAAGAGCCACAGGCGGAGACTGATAGCGAAGAAGGTGAAGATGAACAGAAGGGGAGAGTCAGGGCGGCGGTGGCGAGAATGACGAGAATGCAAGTGCTTGTCACGATGTAAGTGGTACTTTGAGAGTTTGGGAATGCAGTTTCGGATGATGGTGAATATCAGAATCTGTCAACGTGCGCTGAGCGCTGAGGCACGAGTTGAAGTGTCCGCAAGTGCCTCAGAATCCCCCGTCCTCAGTCCTGAAAAACTCTTGAGGGACCCACATCCCACAATTCCGGGTGCTTTTGGGCGCTCCCGGACTGTCTCGGGCGCTCCTGGGTCGCATGTTTTTCCTGGAGCCAAGAGGGGCCCCACGAGAGTCCCGCATGACTGCAATCTGTCTCCCAAAACGGGCCAAGATGAACCCATGACGGCTTATACTGGCTTTAGGATGGCCTCAGGAAGCCTCCAAGACGGCCCAAGAGGCCTCGAAGAGGTCCTCCAGGAGGGCCCGAAAAAGTCGCAATCATTGATCTTACGTTGGGTCTTGAAGGATTTGGGCATCTGGTTTGTTTCGGCTTGTCCACGGCCCGGGGCGGCCCAGGGCGGCCTCCAAGATCGCTCAAGAGGCTTCCAAGATGGCCCCCAGGATGGCCCAGACGGCTTCCAAGATGGCTTCCAAGATGGCTTCCAAGAGGCTTCCAAGATGGCCCAAGATCGCTCAAGAGGCTTCCAAGATCGCTCAAGAGGCTTCCAAGATGGCTTCCGAACCGCTCAGAATGACCTCCGAGACGGCCCTGCAGCGCCCCAGACGGGCCCCAAGTCGGCCCAGAAGCCCCCGATACGGTCTCCGACGGCGACGCCCTCAGACGGCCATGGGGCCCTAAGGAACTTTTTTATGTATCTCCCAAAAGCCGCCCATGCGCCCTCAGGAAGCTGGCCCCGAAAGTGCCCCAAGAGGCTCTCAACAGGCCTCCTCCTCTTCCTGCTCCTTTTTTTATGCTTCTCCTACTTGTCTTTTTCTCCCCCATGCGTTCCCCGAGCGGTTGCCACATCGGCAGGGGGAACACATAGTTCGACAGCTTGGCCGAGCTCTGGCCGTAACGTTCGCCCACATATGCACTTCCGATGGACAATGAGCGGCGGTGGTTCGTCGTGAGCGTCTTCGATAGAAAAAAAGGACATGCGAATCATAAGAAAGGCGGCGAAAGTGCGGGTGAGGATGGCCGCGTGCATATCTAAATATATGTACATGTTTGTGTAATCTAGCATTTAGACTATGTTTATGTATACGTATGTAGGTGTGTATGTATGTATGCAAACGTATATGTATGTATGTATGTATGTATGTATGTAGGTTTGTATGTATGTTTGCATGTGTGTATGCGCACACATATATATATATATATATATGTATACATATATATATATGTTTGTATGTGTATGTATGTATGTATAGATATGTATGAAAAGAAGGATGGGTGCAGTAAATCTGGCAGCGAGGATGGGGGTGACGACGTGGGTGGCAGAACACGTCGATTTTGGCATCTCTGTTCTTCCTACGCGGGTGGTCTAGAGGAGCCAGAAGGCCACTTGGATGTGGACAGGTACTGATAGAGAGCTCGCGGGCTCAATCATGTTTGGGAACGCCAGCGTGCAACTTCGACGCTGCCAGCAGGAAAGCATGGCATCGCACATATTACGCCGAGGGGCGGATCGACAAATTTATGCCTATACTTCGATGAGCGTGGAAAATCATGTTCGACACCAGCGATGTTCGGAGAGACGAATGCAGATATCACGAACACGATGGTTTTGGGCCACCTTCTGGACTCCACACCTGGACAAAAACGGTGCGTTCCCTCAACGTCCCGACCACCGCGAACCCGACATGGTGGGCATCGGATGGACTTCCCGACAGTGTCCATATGTAAACGAAAGCACGCGCGCACTTTTTTAACCAGCGCAGACAGAGCCCAGTGGCGACGACACGGCAGACGAAACGACCGACGACGACGAAGACGACAGAAGCGGCGCAGGGGATGGGAGGCGGGAGGGGAGGGGTGGGGACCCGCGGGGGGCGCCCGCGCCCACTGCAGCCCCGCCCAGGCCCAGCAGCCCACGGCCGCGGCGACCTGCCGCCCGCCTCGGTTACCTGGCCGCGCCGATGCCGGCCGCCATGTGGCCCGTGAGTTCCACGAGCTCTGGGCCAAGCGGGCGGCTGAGCGCGGCGCAGCTGCAGCTACCGGCGCTTTCCCCCGGTGCGGACGTGCAGCAAGGCAGCCAGCTCTGCTTCGGCAGCGCGGCCGCCAGCCCGCGCCAGCGCGCACACCAGGGCGAGATTGTGCACGCGCGCCGCGGCCGCCGCCGTCTCCTCGACCTCCGTCGGGCCCAGCCCGGGAGGTGGGGCAGCCTCCAGCCGCGCGGCCCCCGCCGCCGCCGTTGGAGGGCCCAGGCCGCTTCCGCGATCGATCGCCCTCCCAATATCACATATTTTGTTTCTTCCGCCTCTTCCTATTTTTCTAATTCTGCTCTTTGTGCAATTTGTTCTTCGTCTTCTTCAGAGTCCATTCTATTCCGCTTTCTCTGTGCTCTCCTTGTCACTGGGCGAATTGCATATCTGTTTTTCCTATTCGTCCTTTCACCCCTGGGAAAATCAGAAAACAACTGCGCTGCACAGGGGCGCGAATGAAAACAACTCCGCCTCGGAGGGCGGAAGGGAGACAACAAAGACGAACTATTGGCCCATCTCCCTCCAAATTACACAGATTTTCTTTACGTGGCGGATCCGAAGCCGAATTCTTTTTGTGGCGACTTACGAAGGATTCCTGTGGTGGCGTGTCACAAAAGAACTCCTTCTGCTAGCTTACACAGTTTTTCCTTTTGTGACGGATGACGAAATGATTCCTGTGACGGACGTCAGGATTCTTTTTCAGGTGAGTTATTCTATGTTTTCTCCTATATTTTTGCGTGTCCTCCCTGGGTAACTGACGCTTGTTGCATATGTTTCATGTGCTGGGTAATTTTGTAGTTGACGCTGTTTTTCTTCACTTTCGTTCCCGCGGCGCCCCCCCGCCCATGGGCGAGGCCAGCGAAAACACTTGGACAAGGGCAGAATCAGAAAAACCTGCCCGGCGCAGGAACAGACACATTCGAACAACTCATCGTCCGAGGCCCCGGGAACGGATAAAACATAAAACATGCGCTCCTTCCCCCTCCATTCCGTCCGTTTGATTTCTTCTGGCCCCTTTTCAAAGAAAATCATTGCAGTGGGAAATCCAAATCTTGATTTCTATTGTATGGATAATCGATAAGTCCTTGCGTTGGACTTTGTGTTCGGATTCATTTTGTGAGGGGTTACAACTTGGTTTCTAGTGTGGGTTCTACAACACATTATTTTGTGGAGCTTTGCAAATGAAGTCGTTTTGCAGTCAACGTACGTTTTCCCAACCCTCCTTGGTTGGGTATTCGTTTTGAATAGAGCACTGTGGTCGTGTCCCTCCTCCCGCCCTCTCCCGCTTCCTCTCGCCTCCTCCTGCCATCTCTTCGCCGTCGCTGGGGGGCTGCGATCTGCGACACTGTCGCCACTTTCGAGGGCTGCTGGTGGGTCCTGCGGAGTGAGGCACCGCGGGGATCTGAGCGGGACCTCGCCGTCCCTGGGGGGGCTGCGATCTGCGACAGTGTCGCCACTTTCGAGTGCTGCTGGTGGGTCCTGCGGAGTGAGGCGCCACGGGGATCAGAGCGGGACCTCGCCGTCCCTGGGGAGCTGCGATCTGCGACACTGTCGCCACTTTCGAGGGCTGCTGGTGGGTCCTGCGGAGTGAGGCACCGCGGGGATCTGAGCGGGACCTCGGCGTCCCTGGGTGGCTGCGATCTGCGACGCTGTCGCCACTTTCGAGGGCTGCTGGTGGGTCCTGCGGGGTGAGGCACCGCGGGGATCAGAGCGGGACCTCGCCGTCCTTGGGGGCTGCGATCTGCGACACTGTCGCCACTTTGGGCTGCTGGTGGGTCCTGCGGAGTGAGGCACCGCGGGGATCTGAGCGGGACATCGCCGTCCCTGGGGGGCTGCGATCTGCGACAAAGTCGCCACTTTCGAGGGCTGCTGGGTCCTGCGGAGTGAGACACCGCGTGGATCAGAGCGGGACCTCGCCGTCCCTGGGGGGCTGCGATTTGCGACACTGTCGCCACTTTCGAGGGCTGCTGGTGGGTCCTGCGGAGTGAGGCACCGCGGGGATCTGAGCGGGACCTCGCCGTGGGGGGCTGCGATCTGCGACACTGTCGCCACTTTCGAGGGCTGCTGGTGGGTCCTGCGAGTGAGGCACCGCGGGGATCTGAGCGGGACCTCGCCGTCCCTGCTGCGATCTGCGACACTGTCGCCACTTTCGAGGGCTGCTGGTGGGTCCTGCGGAGTGAGGCACCGCGGGGATCTGAGCGGGACCTCGCCGTCCCTGGGGTGGGGGGCTGCGATCTGCGACACTGTCGCCACTTTCGAGTGCTGCTGGTGGGTCCTGCGGGGTGCGGCACCGCGGGGATCAGAGCGGGACCTCGCCGTCCCTGGGGGGCTGCGATCTGCGACACTGTCGCCACTTTCGAGGGCTGCTGGTGGGTCCTGCGGAGTGAGGCACTGCAGGGATCAGAGCGGGACCTCGCCGTCCCTGGGGGGCTGCGATTTGCGACGCTGTCGCCACTTTCGAATGCTGCTGCTGGGTCCTGCGGAGTGAGACACCGCGTGGATCAGAGCGGGACCTCGCCGTCCCTGGGGGGCTGCGATTTGCCACACTGTCGCCACTTTCGAGGGCTGCTGGTGGGTCCTGCGGAGTGAGGCACCGCGGGGATCTGAGCGGGACCGGGGCTGCGGTCTGCGACAAAGTCGCCACTTTCGAGGGCTGCTGGTGGGTCGTGCGGAGTGAGGCATCGCGGGGATCTGAACGGGACCTCGCCGTCCCTGGGGGGGCTCTTGAACGCTGTTGTGGGATACGTTACTCGCAACGGGCGCATGGCACAACCAACGGGGGTGATTTGTGACACAGACCGTCTGCCGGGCGATGACCATAACGTAGCGCCTGCACGTATCCCGCGGGGGCTCTCAAGAGCTGCTGTGGGATACGTTGGGTGCATCGGGCGCATGGCACAGCCAACGGGGGTGATTTGTTATTACGTAGCCCTTAGATCTTGATCTGGGGCCCGCGAGCCTTCGGATTGCTGCGCGCAAAATCACATGCGTCCATGTTACATCATCGCCCCCGTTGTAACAATCCTGATGTACTTATGCCCTGCATTGCGCAAGGGTTGGGTACGTCGCCAGGGTAATTTTTCTAGAGTCCTTCATGGGCGGCTTTAAAGAATGGATTCGTTTGTGGGAGGCTGACATAAGTACGCGTTCCCATGCATGTAGGGAACTTAGATTATGTTTGCGTGCGGCTGCGCACACGGAGACCAACAGGAATATTATCGTGTGGAATGTACATATTAATCCCCGCTTATGGGAATTACCACTACTACTGCAGACGCACACGTATCATTACGACGACGACGACTAAGACGACGACAACGACAACGACGACTACGACGACACCGACTACGACTATGACTACTACTACTACTACTACTACTACTACTACTACTACTACTACTACTACTACTACTACTACTACTACTACTACTACTACTACTACTACTACTACTACTACTACTACTACTACTACTACTACTACTACTACTACTACTACTACTACTACTACTACTACTACTACTACTACTACTACTACTACTACTACTACTACTACTACTACTACTACTACTACTACTACTACTACTACTACTACTACTACTACTACTACTACTACTACTACTACTACTACTACTACTACTACTACTACTACTACTACTACTACTACTACTACTACTACTACTACTACTACTACTACTACTACTACTACTACTACTACTACTACTACTACTACTACTACTACTACGACTACTGCTACTACTACTACTACTACTACTACTACTACTACTATTACTATTACTATTACTATTACTGCTACCACTACTACGACGAAGACGGCGACTTCTTCTTCTACTACTACTACTGTGACTACTACTCACAGTATTACAATTATTAATATTGCTACTTCTATTGCTGCTACTGCTAGCAACGATTCTATCCCGGCCTCTATCACTCTTACTACTTCTCCGCCACCACCCTGTCTAAACTATGGAGTGGTGCTGTTGTGTTTTCGTTGCGAATGTGACTGCCGCACCCCCGTCTCGATCGCCACCGCCATAACTACCACTCCACCACCACCACCACCACCATCTTTCACGTAGTATTGCTATTGCTAGTTCCTCTGCCCCCACCACCTACTTCTTCTACTACTACTACTACTACTACTACTACTACTACTACTACTACTAGTACTACTACTACTACTACTCCTACTGCTGCTGCTGCTGCTACTACTACCCCCACCACCCACCCTCACTGCTACTGCCCTGACAACAACAACTTCTAATACTACTACTGCTACTACTACTACTACTACTACTACTACTACTACTACTACTACTACTACTACTACTACTACTACTACTACTACTAGTATTGCTCCTCCTCCCCATCCTCCTCCTCCTACTTCTACTACTACTACTCCTCCTACTCCTCCTCCTCCTACTACTGCTACTACTACTACTACTACTACTACTACTACTACTACTTACTACTACTACTACTACTACTACTACTACTACTACTACTACTACTACTACTACTACTACTACTACTACTACTACTACTACTACTACTACTACTACTACTACTACTACTACTACTACTACTACTACTACTACTACTACTACTACTACTACTACTACTACTACTACTACTACTACTACTACTACTACTACTACTACTACTACTACTACTACTACTACTACTACTACTACTACTACGACCGAAACACATAGTAGCACGTCCACTGCTGCCTCCACGGCCAACACTACCACGTCCAGCGCCACCACCACCACCAGTACTCCATTGCCACCACCACGATTCTGTTTGGATCAAGAAGTCAGTGTGGTTGTGGTTGTCCTGCTTGTGCTGTTCATTCTCCTTTTCCGCCGCACCACCCCATTACCATGACAATATCACAAACCTGTTAGTACGTAATGCTACTACTACTACTACTACTACTACTACTACTACTACTACTACTACTACTACTACTACTACTACTACTACTACTACTACTACTACTACTACTACTACTACTACTACTACTACTACTACTACTACTACTACTACTACTACTACTACTACTACTACTACTACTACTACTACTACTACTACTACTACTACTACTACTACTACTACTACTACTACTACTACTACTACTACTACTACTACTACTACTACTACTACCCATAGTACTACTACTACTACTGCTACTACTACTACTACTACCACTACCACTACTACTACTACTACTACTACTACTACTACTACTACTACTACTACTACTACTACTACTACTACTACTACTACTACTACTACTACTACTACTACTACTACTACTACTACTACTACTACTACTACTACTACTACTACTACTACTACTACTACTACTACTACTACTACTACTACTACTGCGACGACTACTACTACTACTACTGCTGGGGCTACAATTGGTATTTCGACTGCCACCGCTACTGCCACACTCAGCACCGATTCTACGATTAATGGCAGCACGCTGCTTCTTCTCCTACTTGCGCTACCCCTACTACTTATTCCCAAGTGCGTACATAGCTACTGCCACAACATCCGCCAATAGCATTACTAGTCCTACACCACTACAGCCCTGTTTAAGCCATGTGGTGGTGGTGGTTAAGGCTGTGGAGTGGTGGCGCTCCTCACTCCTCACTCCTTCTCCTTCTCCTCCTGCTCCTCGTCGTCCTCCTTCTCCTCTTCCCCGTGCAATTCTTCCTCATGTCGCTACCCCTTCCCCTCTCCACATAGGAACAATAAGAGGAGGGGAGCGAGGATGGGGATGTTGGACCGTATGGTGACATAATGATGGTGACGATAAGGAAGAACGATGGAAGCAGGAATCTAAGGAGAAGGAGGGGCAGGAGGAAGAGAATGGGGTTGAGAAGGAGGGGGGCACTGCGGCAAAGAGAAATCATGACGATGGGGACGGAGAGTGGGAAGCAGATGAGGGGGAGGGCGGAGGAGGAAAGAAATGGGAATCATCGAACACAAGGCCAAAAGGTATTATATTGGAGGGGGGTAGCACACGATCGTACATAGACACATTCTTGCTTCGGTCATCGCCAACTGTATCTTGAAACACGGCAGGACTACATCCAGCCACCAGCTACAGACTCGCGAGCACATGGAAGCACTGCTTGAACAGTGACACTGCAATGGCTAATTTTGACACATCTCCTCGTGGTGGGAGTTCGTATCTGTGATGCGCATCACCTCAATGGATGGGGCAGAAAACATATTACTGGGGAGATGAAGGATATATACATATGTATATATACACATACATCTCTCTCTGTATTCATAACACACGATTGATGTATGTGCATCTGTATACAGAGAGGGATATTTATATATATATATAGATATATATAGATATATATTGCGAGAGATGACAATGAAGTGAGGGATATATGGATGACAGGCGATTGAATATTTACTCGAAACTGAAAAGCAGAGAGCCAGTCAGGGACAGAGACAGAGAAACATATGTCACCAACAAATGATGGATCTATGCGTATCGAGAGAGAGAGAGAGAGAGAAAGAAAGATATATAGAGAGAAAGAGAGAGAGAGAGAGAGAGAGAGAGAGAGAGAGAGAGAGAGAGAGAGAGAGGGAAAGAGAGAGAGAGAGAGAAAGAGACAGAGAGACCGACATAGATACGAGCTCAGGGATCACCATGTACATCTGTAGCTGTGCGGGGGGCACGTCGGGGCGTGTCATGTTTTAGGATGCCTGCCAGATGTCTGGCAGGGTTCATCACTCGAGGTGGCCCCAACGTGGACCCGAGGCGGCCCCAACGTGGACGGAGAGCGCCCCCCGTGAGACAACTGCAACCTCATCAAGACTGGCCCCATATTGCCCAAGAGATCCCGAGAGGGTCCAAGATTCACTGTATGAGCCTAGAGGGAGCACTCCTGGCGGTTTCAACTGAAGCCGGCAGCATCAGATCATGATATGGTTCAATGTCTTTCGGCTCCTGAAGTTATCAGCCTAGGATGGCCTCAGCAGAGCTTCGTAACAACACGTTGCCAGAGAACCTTGCAAGCCACCAGAGACCTCATTCCGACGGCGACTTTCCACATGGGCCTAAGATAATCGTCCAGTCACCCCTAAGATGCTTCGACCGAGCCTCTTCAGACGAGCTCGGTAAAACCGTCGCATCCTAGACTGCTCTCAAAAGCCCGAAAGGCTCCCCCAAAGCCCAAAGCCCCAATGGGCCCTGGATGTAGCTTCGAATGTCCTCCGACACCTCGTCGTAGACGTAGTCTGGTCGTTGTCTCTCTCTCTCTCTCTGTCTCTCTCCTTTTTTTGCTTTCTCTCCTGCTGCCGCGTGAATGGCCCTTCTCAGAGCCTCTTCTTTTCAGCCCACGCCCCAAACTTTGCTCGCACGATATGTCCCCAAGAGTCCCCGAATAATTGCACGGGAAGCCTCCAAAAGGGCCTCAATAAAGCAATCCAGCAGCCGTGCAACGTTAAGGCTACGCCACTGTGCCGCTTCCAAGGCAGCCCCACTGTGCAGCTGCCATAGTCAGTGAGAGAAAGACGTGGGAACCAAAGCGGAGAACATGTGCAAACACCAGCCGGCCACCGTGCGCGCTGACTTCTTGTGCGCAATGCGTGTCTCGTAAGCGCTATGCCGCATCCGCACCCGACAATGCCAATACGCGTCCACACTTGACTCGTTTGTTTAACGAATGGTATTTCGCGCTCTGTTGACCATACCGCGCTGCATTACTGGCACGTTACTGCTTAAACTTTCGTGCCACGACTTGTGCTTTCGATACTCTGCGTCTCGGCCTGTGACGACCCGGGGACTGGTGCAGGCGCTTGGACAGCACAAAGCCTCGACACACTTCAGTCACATGAGGAAGATACTCTGGTATGCCAAACAACTGAACGCTAATCCCACCAACACAAGTGCCACACACCTGTCGAGATTCAGAATGGCGGTCCTATTTTCAAAACGACCTGTCCGACCTTTCGCCTTGACTCCTTGGGCTTTTCGCAAGAATGTAGCAAACATTGCACACGTAACTAAGTGCCATCAATTGGTCAGTGCGGCCTTGGCAGGCATGACCAGAATAACAAGTCCACCCCAAGTGATTCGGGCATTCCAACAGAAACCGCATCGTGAAACACCGCTGGTATGCTATCACATCCTGGCTGGAACATGCCGAACTTTTTCTGCGCTTCAGTCCGATGCCAACGAGTTACCTCAAAACAATTCATTCGTGCAACAAATATGAAGCCCCAATCGTAAATACACCCATGTGCGGAATCCCAAGTGTGCGAAGCAATCCGTGTTTGGAACCCCACGTGCGCGTGGAAAGTATCTATATATACACAAGACTGCAGTGGCGCGTCGCGCCATGCACCTTGGTCCTTGAAGATTGCTATGCAAGCGGAAAAGGCAGGAAGGTCAAGCGGACACTTTAACGATAACTCTTTGCTACCTTTTCTGGCATCACCGTTATAATCATGTTGTTCGTTATCCTTCATCCATGCTTATTTTTCCTCATTCTCGCCATACCCTGGGCATTCTCCCCATCCTCCTCAGCTCTTTTTGCGGAGGCTCCTCCTTGGAGAGCCTCTGGGAGCCTCACCAAAGTTCTCAAGCTTTCTTAAAGCCTTCTGGAAGCCTCCTGGGCGTGTTCTGGGGGCCTCTGGGGCTTCCTAAGGCCAACCTGCCTCTAACCACGGTCTCCCTGAACGCCCCGGTCACGATTTGGAATACTTCGGAGGGTGTCTTGGGGCCATCTTGTGACGCCATGGGGCTCTCTTAGGGCCATTTTGGACCCCTCGTGTGCCGTTTTGGGGCTCTCTTGGACTGCCTGGAAGCCCTTTCGGATGGCGTTGGGGCGATTTTGGAGCCTCCCAGGCGACTTCGGACGCCCAGACGACCGCTGTCTTGGAGCGTCGGGAAGCCGAAAAGAGGAGAACCCCAAATTCACCAAAAACCTGCATTAAATCAAGGATGTTTCCCTCTTGGGGCCTTCTTGGGGGTGCTCTTGGAGGCCTCTTGGTACGTTTTGGAGCGATCTTTCGGGGTATGACGGGTTCTTGGAGCGCTCTTGTGCTGTCTTAGGGTTCTCCAGGACGTCTCCGATGACCCCCCTGATCGCCCTAGGTGTGCTGCGAAGGCTTGGCAAAACGCCCTGCGAGGCCCGTGGGGGCCCCTTGGAGGCCCGTCCGAAGGTTCCCAAAGCCCCAGATCCCGGGAGTTCGGTTTTTTTTGGGGGGGGGACGGGTTTTCCCCCCGCCCGGGCTGGTAAAAATATAGGAAAAGGAATGTGTGGGACTGGTGCGCGTGGAACCACATGTGCGTGAACTCTCAAAAGTGGAACCACCTGCGTGTAGAACCCCTATATGCCTGGAGCCCGAAGTGTAGGGAACGCTTGTGGAGTCTCCTGCATGTGGCACCCCCAAGCGTGTGGGACCTCATATGCCCGTGGAACCCCGACGAGTGTGGGTGCACGGTGGGCTGCGCAGAGTGCTGCGCAGTGGGTTGCACGTTGGCTTGTGCGGTGCGCTGCGCGTGGGCTGCGGGGTGGGCGGCGCGGCGGATTGTGCGGTGGGCCGTCTGATCGGTGGAGCGCAGGAGCACCTCCGTGAAGCACAAGTGAAGACCCTTCGGTGCAATCACTGTTTTGGGAAATGTGTGAACAAACAGATTCGCGCATGCTGAGGGGTCACCACATGCAACAACTTCTGTGGGTGCAGCGCTGAAACTGCAGGAAGGAGGCACGCCGCGATGCATGGCTTACTTGCCGATTGTGGACTCCACATGCGACGCGCGCACACAAAAGCATTCAGAAGCAGCCTGCGAGAAGAACATTCCGAACTGCGCCTTCTAACTTTGTGAGATCCTGAGCGCGAGGAGGCCGCGAACAACCACTGCCGAGGGATGCAAACAACAGGCACGCGGCCGCACACCTCTGTGTTCTTGCCGTGCCCCGCCACTCTGCGCGCCCCTGCCGGCCATGGGTCCACCGGGCACGGCGTGCCATACACCAAGAGGCCGAGGAGGAGGAGGAGGAGGAGGAGGAGGAGGAGGAGGAGGAGGAGGAAGAGGAGGAGGAGGAGGAGTGGGGGAGGAGGAGAGGAGGAGGAGGTGGCAACCCCATCTGGGCGTGCACGCTGGACGACCTCCTCCTGCAGGAGAGGCACCCTGTGGTAACTTCGTCGTGCACTCTGGCGAGGTTCCTGTCAATCTGGCTTCGCAGGCCATGGCGCCTGCGCCGGCACGGTCATCCAGAAGGCCGTTGTCGATGACACCTTGGTATATGACCCCATCTGGGCGAGTTCGGAAACCCTGATTCCAAAAACGTTTTCATTTCCTGGGGGCGCATCTTTCACCTCCGCCGCCTTTCGCCAGCCTTCCGCCGGCGGAGGCGGCCTCGCTTTCCTTCCGCCGACCTTCCGCCGAGGAGGAGATGGCAGCTCCTTCGATCCTCTATATGGCAAGGTCCTTTTTGAAACGCCTCATCTGGAGTGGCCACATCGAGAACCATGCTGCCCTCACCCTGTTCCTGCGTCGTGGAATTCGACACTTCTGGTCCCTCAGGGCACGCGGGACTGTGGCACGGGGCTGCAACAAGTGCGCAGGATACGGAATTCCGCTGCCCATACATCTGGGGGCACGTTGGTAAACGATCACCAGGAGGAGGAGAAGGAGGAGAAGGAGGAGGAGGAGGAGACGGAGAAGGAGGAGGAGAAGGAGGAGGAGGAGGAGAAGGAAGAGGAGAAGGAGGAGGAGACGGAGAAGGAGGAGGAGGAGGAGGAGGAGGAGGGTGAGGAGGAGGAGTAGGAGGAGCTTCTTGAAGTGCCCCAGGGCTTCTGCGGGCCCCCAGGGCCATCGGGGAACATACACATGCTGCTGGGGCACCTGCTGACACGCAAACTCGTTTCTGGCTTGCCGCACCTGCTGTAGGGCCAGGGGGGGGGAAGGGCGAGGAGGACGACGAGAGAGAGAGAGAGAGAGGAAAAAGGAGCGGTTGGTGTGAGGGAGAGAAGCGGGGCAGAACCGGAGGAGCCGACGCCCCCGGGGCGCGGTCCGACTCGGTGCGCGCAACGCCCTGCGCCCCCGTCCTCCCAACTACCCTGTGGTCTGTTTCCTTCCGCTCGCTGGTAGGTCCCGCACTGCCAGCTAGTTGCACTCAGCGGTGGTCCCAGCCGAGGTCAACCAAAAAACCCGGCTGTGCTGTGCTGTGTGTATGTGGGGGGGGGGACGCGACGCAGGTCCACAGGAGGGCCGAGAGGCAGGAGGAGTAGGAGGAGGAGGAGGAGGAGGAGGAGGAGGAGGAGGAGGAGGAGGAGGAGGAGGAGGAGAGGAGGAGGAGGAGGAGGAGGGAGGAGGAGGAGGAGGAGGAGAGGAGGAGGAGGAGGAGGAGGCGGAGGAGGAGGAGGAGGAGCAGCGCCCCTTGAAGACCGCAAAAGGGGGCGTTCGCTCTTCGGCTTGGCAATGTGGGGGCTCTGTCAACTTCCGATCCGCCCCCCACCACCCCAGACCCCCTCGAGCCATAAAAAAATCACGACGGGACATTTTTCGCTACCTTCGGCCCCCGGGGGCCCTTAGTGGGCCTCGGGGCCGTCAAAAAACGACTCGGGATGAAAACCGATCCTGGGAAAGGGGTCGAGACCTCCCTGGGGGTCGACGACGTAGGAAAAAACACAACGTCTGGGGTCTGGGACCACCCCAAGCCTCACCGTCCGTCACCTCTTCTGCTCATCTGCCGCTTGGCTCTCTGCCTCGTACCCACCCCCCTCTTCCCCCTCTTGCCTCCAGCTTCTGCTCCTGATGCCGCTGCTGCTGCTGCTCCTCCTCCTCCTCCTCCTCCTCCTCCTCCTCCTCCTCCCCCTCTTCCTGTTCATGACCCCCTCGTCTCTTGCGAGATCACCTCCCGCCTCCTCTTCCTGTTCGGCTCTTCCGCCCGCCTACCGCTCAACCTATCCTTGCCCCCTCATCCTCCCGCCCCTAATCTCCCAATGTTTCCACTACTCTTTTCTTCTCCCCTCCCTCCTGTCACCTTGCTTCCTGCTCTATGATTTGCTCATTTTTTCCCCCGTCCTTTTTTCCGTTGCTTTTCCTCTCTCTCTCTCTTTCTCACACTCCCTCTCTCCATTTTTTTTTTTTTTTTTTTTTTTTTGTTTCTCTCTCTCTCTCTATCTCTCTCTCTTTCTTCCTCCTTCCCTCCCTCTTTCAACCTGCGTTCTGTTACGCATGCTTCATTCTCTTAATCGATCGGCACGTGCTCTTCACAGGGCAAAGCAAACAATGTGTGCGCGCGCATGGACCCCCTCCGCAACCGGAAAGCTGGTGTGAACCCTGGCTGGCGGCAAGATGCGCGCGGTGGGCGAGAGAACTGCGTGGAGACTCAACCCGGAGCGCCTGGCCCCAATCCTGCCGCGTTCGAGTGTATCTGGCAGCTCGGAAGCAGGGGAAACTGTCTCCGACAACTGCAAGTCGTTGAGAGTTTCACAACGCGCTGCTTCCACGCACGCGGTCGAAACAGCACCTTCACCAAACACATTGTGGTGATCCTGACATGTACTGGCTCACAACGGCTGGATATCTCTGGCCATTCGTTCCCCCTTCCACTTTCTTCACCGACTGCGCCCTCCATCTTCCCGTGCCAGTCCTCCGTATGAAATTTATCCGCGTAATTGGCTCAGGCGGGTTAACGTCTTCGTCGCCGCCCGAGACTGATCTCCTTGGTACAGCGCGTCCCCCGTGATGCGAAGACCTGCTCGTGCCACCCAACCGACTGCCCTGCTCGCATGTCATCTGTTCTCGTGCACATGAAAGACATCCACCCTCGAGTGAGCTTGGATGCACCTTTCTCGCGCATTTCCAATCACATCTTAGGCCATCACACTCATACATTATTGCCAACCATGGTGTCTGGGCGCGGCCCCGAGATTGAGGCACAACTAGCGGCACAATCATTATTTATCGGAGGTCCGTGCGGATTTCTTGGATCGGCGCTTGACCTGTCGAGCGGACGCGCCAGGGGCGATTCTGGAGGTGTCGCCAGGGGGGTCCAAGCCGATCCAAGAAATCCGTCTGGACCTCAGAGGAGTGACAGTCGGACCCAGGCCAGAAGAGCATCCTTCAAGAACATGAGACCCCCCGCGGGCCAAAACACACAGAACATCCGAGGGTGCCCTCCCCAGGATGCACAAGAACATCCAACACACACGAAGAACATCAGGGTACCCTCCTCGAACTGAACTCGATCTCATACCCTGGTCAGACTGTATGCTCATGCCGTCTTGTTCTTCGAGACGGGCGCGGAAGGAAACGTTCAACGAGAATGCAGAGCAGCAGTACGCATCCAACGCCAAGACGTCGGACGCGCCCTGTCGGGTGCGCCGTGGCCACGCGCGCCAGCAACGGAGCCCACGGGCGACTTCCAGCCGGGAGCGGGGCGGATGGCAACGGGGCAACCGTTTTACCGATGGACATGTTGGCACGACGTTAGGGAACAAACGGGGGGGTCCAAATAGAAGCTGACCGTCTCGTCTCGCGGGGGTCCATGTGTTTGTTTCCGCCAGCCTTCCGCCAAGGGAGGTCGCCTCGTGTGCCTTCCGCCAGCCTTCCGACGCCTTCCGCCGAGGAAGGGATGCCAGTTCCTCGGGCCCTCGAAGGAGAGACCTTCTCTGGAGCGCCTCACGTGACCGTTTTTAGTGAACTTCGATGCGATTCGCGGGTGGGTGCCACGACCCAATGTTACCGGAAAAAGAGTGCAGAGGATGGCCTGGCGAAGAGGACCCAGATGACGACGGAAAGCGAGAAGGCAGGGCCCAAAGCTTTCGCCGTCCAAACACCTCCCCTAACCGATGGGGGGGCCGATCAAATCTCCCGATCCCGGACCAGCCTGTCCATCGGAGGAACGTGTTGCGAATTCGGGTGGAGCAAGCTGCCGTTGATTTCGCGTGGGCCCTAGCTTCTTGTTTCTGCACCGTGGGAGCTATGCTCCGTGGGAGCTCCCTGACCCTGGCGCGGCGAGGCCAAAATTAGCCTGGCGAGGGACCCAACCCTTAGCGGCCGAAGGGGGGGGTGCCTCGGGGTCTTTGGGAGGCTCGTGGGAGCCTCAGGGGGGCTCTTAGTAACGTCTCTATCTCTTGGACTGTCTTGGCGCGTCTTGGGGCTCTTTTGATGTCCCTCTGGGCCATCTCGGCTGTCTTTTGGGCCCTCTTGGGCTCTCTTGCCCCCTTCTGGAGGCTCTCTTGGGCCGTCAGTGGATCCTACTGGGGCTTTCTGGGGCCGTCTTGGGACTTTCTTCAGGCGGTGTAGGACAATACTGCCCTGGGCCGTCTTGGCGGCATGCGGGCGTCTTCCTGAACCATTTCGAAAGCCTCTTGAAGCCGAGATTACCCCCCAGAGGCTCCAAAGAGGGTCCTAGACTCTCGGGGCTGAAGTGAGTTACGGGGGAACTGGACTTTTGGAAAAATGTGTTGCCCGTGGGGCCTGGGGATCCGTTGCAGGTTTTATGATTTTCACGAATAAGTGTAAGCGTTGGCTGGTGAGCCTTGCGTCGATGGTGCCGCACATTGCGCTGAGCATGAGGAGAAGATCAACTTTCTGCTTTTGATAGATTTTGGCGTTCTCGCCTTTTCGGCTATCCGACGCTCCACGACGGCCCAGCAAGCCCCAAAACCACCCGAAATAAGAGCGCCCCAAGACTGCCCAAGAGGGCCGTAAGACGGCCCTAATGGGAGCCGAAGAGAAACCGAATATCAAAACCTTCCACCCCAAGAAGCTTTTAGGATGCCCCAAAAGGCGCCCAAGAAGCCCCAAGAGGCCCCCAAGAGGCCCCCGAGAGGCCTCCAAGAGGGCCCCCAAGAGGCTCCAAAACAGCACCCAAGATGCTTCAAAACTGCCTTCAAGAGGCCCCCGAGAGGCCTCCCACGAGATCCCAACGAACATCCAATAGGCTTCATACCCAGAACCCAGGCACGGTGGCGAGATGGGCCGAATACCATTAGATCCGCCGCCCCGGTTTTGGTGTTGGTTCTTTTCCCAAAACTCCCCCTGGGGCTCCGGCGCGTCCCGCCGGCCATCCGGAAAGGCTCTTAAGGAGCTCAATTCCCCAATTCTTCGCTCAAGATGGCCCAAGATGGCCTCCAAGATGGCCACGTTGGCCCAAGATGGCCTCCAAGATGGTCCAAGATGGCCTCCAAGTCCGCCCAAGATGGTCCAAGACGGCCTCAAAGATGGCCCAAGAGAGTCCAAGATACCTCCAAGTTCGCCCAAGAAGCCTCCAAGACGGCCCAACACGACCCAAGAGGCCTCCAAGAGGGCCTCAAGGAAGGCCCGAAGAGGCCAACATCATTTTTTTTTTTTTTTTTTTTTTTTTTTTTGTTTTTGTTTTTTTGTTCATATATATATATAAACAACGGTTTTGACAGATTTTGGCATTTGCTTCTTTTCGGCCTTCCGACCGTCTCAAGACGGCCCAAGATGCCCCCAAGATCGCCCCAAGATCGTCCACGAGGCCTTGGCCTCCAAGACGCCCAAGATGGCCTCCAAGACGGCCCCGAAGCGCCCCAAGAGGACCCCAAGCCGGTTCAGAGATGCTTCCAAGACGGTTCCCGACGGCGTCAGACGTGCCAGGAACCCGCCAAGATGGCCGAAGTTGGCTCGAAGCTGGCCCAAGACGGCCCAAGAGGCCTCCAAGACGGCCTCCAGGAAGGCCAGAAAAGGTCACACACTAGGTTTTCGGAGTTTTTTTTTTTTTTTTTTTGGTTTGTGTTTTTCTCTTGCAACATTTTGACATTTGCTTCTTTTCGGCCTTCGGACGGCCCGAGACGGCCCAAGAGCCCTCAAAGATCGCCCAAAGATCGCCCAAGACGGCCCCAAGAGGCCCTCAAGACGGCCCAAGAGGCCTCCAAGACCCTCAAGATGGCCTCCAAGACTGCCCAAGAGCCCTCCAAGACGTCCTCCAAGAAGGCCCGAAAGGGTCAAAACGGCCTCCAGACGGCCAAGATGACCTTCAAGATGCCCACGTGTTCCCCGAAGGCTTTCCAAACCGATTCGGGGAACACATGGTCCGATAGCTTGGCAGATCTGGCCTCAACGTTCGGCCACATAAGCGCTTCCAAAATGGCAGGGGGCGGCGGTGATTCGCCGTAGGCGTCTTCGATCCGCCGCCCCCTGTTGGCTTGCCATAGGGGTGCCTGGCGTGCTAAATCCTTTCGGTTTTGGTTTTGCTTCTTTTTCCAAAAGAACTCTCCGTGGGGTCCCGGAAGGGAGCTCAATCCCCAATTCTTCCTTCAAGACGGCTCAAGATGGCCTACAAGATGGCCACGTTGGCCCATGATGGCCTCCAAGATGGTCCAACATGGCCTCCAAGTCCGCCCAATATGATCCAAGACGGCCTCCAAGACGGCCCAAGAGAGTTCAAGATACCTCCAAGTCCGCCAAATAATCCTCCAAGACGGCCCAACACGACCCAAGAGGCCTCCAAGAGGTCCTCCAGGAGGACCCGAAGAGGCCAAACTCATTGATTTCCCATAGGTTTTTAAGGATTTTGCCATTTGTTTCTTCTCGGCATTCCGACGGTTCAAGACGGCCCAAGATGCCCCCAAGATCGCCCCAAGATTGCACACGAGGCCTCCAAGATGGCCCCGTGACGGCCCAAGAGGCCCCCACGACGGCCCCAAGAGGGCCCCAAGATGGCCCAAGAGGCATCTAAGACGCCCAATATGGTCTCCAAGGCGGCCCTGAAGCGCCCCAAGAAGGCCCCAAGACGGCCCAGCGAGGCCCCCAAGACGGCATCTGACGGGCCAGGAAGGCCCTGAGACGGCCAAAGAGGCCCCCGAGAAGCCTCCAAGGGCCTCCAAGAGGCCCAAGGAGTCCCCCAAGAGACCTCCAAGAGACCCCCAGGAAGCTCCCAGGAGGCCCCAAGAGTGCCCCAAGAGGCTCCCAAGAGGCCTCCTCCTCCTCCTCCTCCTTCTTCTCCTCCTCCTTTTCCTCCTCCGCCTCCTCCTCCTGATCTTCCCCGCCATCCTCCGCCAAGTGTTCCCCGAAAGGTTTCCACAACGGTTGGGGGAACACACGGCCCGATAGCTTGGCAGAGCTCTTGCCACAACGCTGGGACATGGGCGCTTTCAAACCTCTTGCTCCCCCACGCGTTCCCCGAAGGCTCTCCAAACTGACTCGGGGAACAACTGGCCCGACAGCTAGGCCAAGCTCTAGCCCAGCTGTCGGCCACATAGGCGCTTCCACAAGGGCAGGGGGCGGCGGTGATTCGCCGCAGACGTCTCCGATACATCAAAGCATTGGCTGGTGAGCCTTGCGCCGATTGCGCCGCGCATTGCGCTGAGCAAGAGGAGAAGAGCAACTTTGAGACTTGACTGCCTGTCTTGCGCAAGGTTGCGAGCAGCATCCGCCACCGTGCCTAGGGCACGACTCGCCCCAATGCGTGCGAACCACGTGTGTACGACGCGGCGCACGCATCTCTGCATGGCAGGAGGAATAGAAGAAGGAGGAGGAGGAGAATGACGAGGAGGAGGAGGATGAGGATGAGGAGGAGGAGGAGGAGGAGGAGGAGAAGGAGGAGGAGGGGGGATGAGGATGAGGATGAGGATGAGGATGAGGATGAGGATGAGGATGATGATGATGATGATGATGATGATGATGATGATGATGATGATGATGATGATGCTGATGATGATGATGATGATGATGATGATGGGGAGGAGGAGGAGGAGGCGGATGAGGAGGAAGAGGATGATGATGATCCAATGTCTCTCCTTAGCTACGAGACTAAATAAGTTTGGATCTAAGTGCTTCAGAAGCAAACTTCCCACATGAAAGGCCCTGTTGGCGGGGAAAACGCACTGGCCTGGAGACGGCCCCCGTGGAGGAATATCCAGTGGGCGACTCATGGCACCACCCCTTCCCACAGCAGAGCCCTTCGTAGGACACTAGGCAGGCCCCCTCGAGCCCGTATCCCGCGACCTCCGACCCACGGGCTTCGCGCGGGCCTGAGCTACAAAGACTGACTGAGCATCATGAGCACTCCCCCTCAAAGCAAAGAGATTCGACGTGGCCGAACGCGCCACAACAGAAACCGCTCCAGGCCCCTGCCCCGAGGATCCCGAGGCAGGAGAGGGGAGTGCACCACGACGCTGTAGTTCTGGAAAGCGCTCACTACCACGAAAGGCGGGCGGAGTAGGGGAGGGAGTAGGACGACAACAAGGAACTGCCACACCTCTCGAAATTAATTGAATTGCAGACAAGCGCAGCGCGCCAGGTGCTCCGCGGCCCTGTCCGTCAGCTTGCCACAATCAAAGAAGTTGACGGATTGCAGACAAGCGCAGCGCGCCAGGTGCTCCGCGGCCCTGTCCGTCAGCTTGTAACAACGCTCGAAGTTGACGGATTGCAGACAAGCGCAGCGCGCCAGGTGCTCCGCGGCCCCGTCCGTCAGCTTGAAACAACTCTCGAAGTTGACGGATTGCAGACAAGCGCAGCGCGCCAGGTGCTCCGCGGCCCTGTCCGTCAGCAGCCAAACTCTCGAAGTTGACGGATTGCAGACAAGGGCAGCGCGCCAGGTGCTCCGCGGCCCTGTCCGTCAGCTTGTCACATCCCCCGAAGTTGACGGATTGCAGACAAGCGCAGCGCGCCAGGTGCTCCGCGGCCCTGTCCGTCAGCTCGTAGCAACCGGCAAAATCCACGGATTGCAATGCGGCGCAGCGCGCCAGGTGCTCCGCGGCCCTGTCCGTCAGCTTGTAACATTCGCCGAAGTTGACGGATTGCAGACAAGCGCAGCGCGCCAGGTGCTCCGCGGCCCTGTCCGTCAGCTTGTCACATCCCCCGAAGTTGACGGACTGCAGACAAGCGCAGCGCGCCAGGTGCTCCGCGGCCCTGTCCGTCAGCTCGTAGCAACCGGCAAAATCCACGGATTGCAATGCGGCGCAGCGCGCCAGGTGCTCCGCGGCCCTGTCCGTCAGCTGGCCACAACTCTCGAAGTGGACGGATTGCAGACAAGGGCAGCGCGCCAGGTGCTCCGCGGCCCTGTCCGTCAGCTCGTAGCAATCGGCAAAATCCACGGATTGCAATGCGGCGCAGCGCGCCAGGTGCTCCGCGGCCCTGTCCGTCAGCTGGCCACAACTCTCGAAGTGGACGGATTGCAGACAAGGGCAGCGCGCCAGGTGCTCCGCGGCCCTGTCCGTCAGCTTGTCACATCCCCTGAAGTTGACGGATTGCAGACAAGCGCAGCGCGCCAGGTGCTCCGCGGCCCTGTCCGTCAGCTCGTAGCAACCGGCAAAATCCACGGATTGCAATGCGGCGCAGCGCGCCAGGTGCTCCGCGGCCCTGTCCGTCAGCTTGTAACATTCGCCGAAGTTGACGGATTGCAGACAAGCGCAGCGCGCCAGGTGCTCCGCGGCCCAGTCCGTCAGCTTGTCACATCCCCCGAAGTTGACGGATTGCAGAGCGGTGCAGCTCGCAAAACGTGCTGCAGCTGCATCTTTCAAGAGGATGCACCCGCTGGCATCTACCGCCTGCCGCATGCAAAACGCTGCATCCGCAAGACGTCTACTTCGTCGCGAAAGCCTGTGCAAATTCGAAAATCCATGAAGGAACCCCTTGTCATCGAAATAATTCAGAATCTGGCCTACGCATGAGTCCGACAGATGAAAAAGAGATGCGCCCCCTCCCAGGGGATCCATAACTGCTCGTGGCAGTGCGGCCGGGAAACCTTCAACAAGATACCAACGCCTTCTTGAGCCAAACTGGCTTGAGGAGGAGGAGGAGGAGGGGCAGGAGGTGACAGCGGCATGTTCAAATGCGGCTTGCTGCGTACACGTGGCAAGCTGGCGGCGGCCCAACAAAAACCGACCACTCCAGCTCGAGGGGTGGCGCTCTGCACCTCTCCCTCGCAGCCGCTGAATTTCTCGGCAAGCGGCGGCTGCGCGGGCTCCAGATCCGAAGACCGCTTGCCGCTTGGTCTGCGATGCCACGGCTGCACCTTCTCTGACAGAAGGTCCATTGGGGCCCCAGACACAACCTAACAAGGCAACAACATGCATACAGGGAAGTGAAGCATCTACAACAGGCAGGCGAGAACTTTGTCTAGTAGCGGCGTAGTCAAGCCCCCGTCAGCTTCTTGCATTCGTGTCGCAAGATGCCTTGGCGCTGTCATGGGTCGTCTCGGGGTCCTCCTGGGCCGTATCGGGAGCCTGCCGTGCGCCTGGCTGGTCCTCGCCTGCATTCTGCCCCCGCCTGCGTCGCGGTCCGGCCCTGCCTTGCTTCCTCAACCCTCCTGTGATGCAGGGTCCTTAGTTTCTCGCCGCTGCGCCTCGCGGCCCCTCCTTCCCTTCCGCCTGCCGCCCCCTCCTCTCCTTCCTGCGCACGGCTGCCGCGCTGGCTGCTGCACAGTGCCGCTGCTCAGCAGGTGCTGCTGCAGCCGCTGCAAGCTGCTGCTGCTGCGCTGCCAACCTCTGCCCGTGCTGCCCGCAACATCAATTTCGGCACGTGCCTCACGCAAGCTGTGCCCCGCAAGGAGCTCCAACTGCGGCTCCACTGGAGGTGTTCGCGTATCGTCCCCGCCTCAATTCGGCACACTCCTCACGCGGATCGTGTCCCGTACGGAGCTCCACCAGCGGCCCCCGTGGGTGCGCTCAAATACTGCCCCCGCCTCAATTAGGCACGCGCCTCGCGCGGATCGTGCCCTGTTGGGAGCTCCAGCTCCCCCCCCCTCGTGGCGCACAGCAAATGAGAAGAGGGCCACCCTTTGCGCTACACGGGTCTGCGTAGGGTTGAATCCTTCGCACAACTTCACATTTTTTGCTTGTGCCGTTGAGCCTTTCTTTGCTTCCTCACACTGAACGTGTTCGATTCGTCTCTCGGGGAGGTGTCAACGATACATCTATGTATATGTCCACATACACGTAGGACTTGTCAATCAGTTCCATGGTTTCAACTGCTTTGACCAAGCTTGCACGTCAATCAACCTGCCTGGCTCTGTCAATCCGATACTGTGTGCGACATGGCGAGCAACACGCAGCGTAGTAAGTGCACTGTGCCCCCTGCCAGAAAATATATGTTCAACGTTGTATCGGGCACAACACACAACATTATGATACATACTGAGGCCAAGGGCATTCAGTGATAAGTGGAAGCATGGTCAAGGGAGAGCATAACAGCACAAGGAGAGAAAGACCCCTCTTGGTCGGTTAATCTCGGAGATAATGTAGGTGGGCGTAATTTCATGACGGTGTCCTTTCGTATCAAGAACAAACCGAAACATGCACCGAAATTAAGTAACTGCGCCGAGGCAACAACATCAAGCACTGTACGCACAGCTTTGACTGTTCGGGTGCACACAACTGCTGCACATTCAATAGCTTCTTTCTGCGTGCTCCAGTGCCACAGTGACGAACGTGACGCGACAACTGACGATCTCGAGCAATCACTATGCGCGCCCTGTCGGATGGCGCTTGCCCAGCAGCCCTCTTATTCTGGAAAAGTGTCACTTGCGGTCGTGAGTGTCAACAGCGGCAGACGCACAATTACCGCATCGAAGCAATCTCTGGCACATACACCAAAATTTCCTCCGCTCGGGGCCTCGTGCAGCGTACGCGGCCGTCGTAGGCGAAATGAGCGTGGCAAGACGACGAGTGAGACAATTTACTTGAGGGCTGGAGAGAGGTACGGGATCATGCGTGATGGTCTAGGACAACAGCGGGTGAGCAGAAGCGACAGCAGCAAGAGGAGGAGGGTGAGGCGATGTAGCGCTCTGTACGGCCAACGGCGAACACTTCCTTCACCGCCTGGATGTCGGACTCCCGCTTGGCTCTGTCCTCCAAGCTGGGGTCGGCCTGAACACTGTTGCGCTCTCAGTAGCCACCGCTGGAAGCTCGTCTCCCCCCCCCCCTCCTCCTCACTCTCGACTTTGGTAGAAAACGGCCCAGTAGACGCGCGTCGCTCGTTTCTACTTCTGCTTGTTCCTGCTCCTGCTCGCTCTCCTTTCCCGAAGAGGTCAGAAAGGAAGATAACGCGGGTATCTCAAGTCAATCGAACTGCGTGCAACTTCGAATTGAGATGCCCGTCCTCCCCCAGCAATTGGGCACTACATAGGCGTCGGGCGTGTCGACGGACATGGCGATGGGGAAACCTTTCATCGACGCTACCTTAGAGGGGGCTGCCCTTCTGAGGGCCAATCTCGGCCTCAAAGGCTAGGTTACCTGGCTTCGCGCCGCCCCTTGAGACGGGCAGCTCTCCAGCCAAAGCCGGGACGCGCGAGGCGCGACTGCCTTCGCGCCCCTGGGGGCGACTTGACCTTCAAGAGGGGAGCTACCCTTCTGATGCCTGGTCTGGGCCTCAGGAGCCCCCTCCCTGGGTGGGCCTGGCACGCTGGACTACAGTTGGGGCCCGTCCACAAGAAACCTTCCACAAGAAGCCCAACCCTGAGACCCCAAGACGTCCATGCATTTTTGGCGCGGGAGCGTCTCGCTTTCCATGGCAAAACCATCGAAACCGAGGAAACCCAGGGCACCCTGTAGGCAAGCAGGGTGTTTCTTGGCATGGGTCTCCAGTGCGCCCTCTCGAGATCCTGCATGCAGGCTCCACGGGTGCCAAAATCCAGCCGCCTCGGGGCCAGCAGCCGACCACACCAGGGGCAGGCCAGCCGGGGCGGCGAGACCTCCTGCCTCCACGCTCGGAGATCAGGCCGAGGAGGAGGAGGAGGAGGAGGAGAAGGAGGACTTCGTAGCCTTTGGCTCAAGGCCGTCTGTAGGGAAACAGAAAGTGGCATAAACATAACAACTCGGAGGTCCGCGCGGATTTCTCGGATCGGCGCTGGGGGCCCCCCCGGCGGCGCCTCCGGCGCCGCCCCTGGCGCGCTCCGCGCGCCAGGGAGGGGGGGTCCAACGTCGATCCGAGAACTCCGCGCGGACCTCCGAGTTGTTATGTTTATGCCACTTTTTATAGAGGACAAAGGACTATGCACATACACCGATTCTGGCCAGGCCCATCCTGAGCCCAGGATCGGTGCATACGCCCTCCTACCTTGGCCAGGAAGGCACATGCACCGATCCTGGGTCAAGGATGGGCCTTGCCAGGATCGGTGCATGTGCATAGTTCTCTTCGCCCGAATTTTCGTTCCCCTGCAGGCGGGCCCGAGGCCCCGACCGGCTCCGCGCGGCCCCCCGGGCCCACGGCGTCGGCCTCGGCCGCCCCCGCCTGCCTGAGCCCCTGGCTGCTGGAGGCCCTCGATCGTATCGCCCTGCTGGGGAGGGCGAGCGGAGGAGCCGGCGCCCTCTCCTGGAGGCGAGGGCAGCCTCACGTCGGGCCTGCCCCCCTGCAGGGGGATTTTCCACGAGAAATACAACATGCCCCCAAAATAATAAAAAATTATAAAAAATAGTATGGGGACTATTTTTTGAATATTTTTTGACCTTTCTTGAATATTTTTGGGGTATCTTTTATTTTTCGTCGAAAATCCCTCTGTGGGGGACACGCCCGACATAAGGGAGGCGAGGATCCGTTGGGGGGGGGCGGACGTGACAAGCGGGGGCCTCACCGCCAAGGCTGCCCTGGCAGGGGCAAGGGCGGACGCGGGGCACAGTCACCGCCTACGCAGGCCTGGGCAAGCTCGGCCACCTCCTACAGTGGAGACCCATGCCAAGAAACACCCTGCTTGCTTCCAGGGTGCCCTGGGTTTCTTCTGTTTCGATGGTTTTGCCATGGAAAGCGCGACGCTCCCATGCCGAAAATCAATGGATGTCCTAGGGTCTCAGGCGTTAGGTTTCTTGTGTGCTGCATTTCCACCCCGCCTCTTTCTTCCGCTTAGGGCCGCCCCTCTCCAGAGCTCGCCGCTATGGCCAGTTTCAGCCTGCCTCCACATTTTCGCTGCACCACCTGCGGAGTGGGCGGGGGGAGGTTTTTGGGGGGTTGGGACAAGGAACCACCGCTGGCTGCATTGACGCTGGCCAAAGCGGCTGCGGTGACCATGGCGGCCACCCAACCACCAACTGCGTCAGCGTCTACGCTCGTCTTACCCAGAAACGTCCCTTCTCCCACTCCTGCGCAGCCGCGGGCACGCAGTCCAGCCGCTTCGCCATCTAGCGCCATTCATGGCTCGACCTCGGACCTCCTGCTTCTTTTCATCTTCTCCCTTCCCCTCATCTTGCCACCCTCTGCGCAGCCAGCAGCAACGCGTGCCAGCGCCACAGCCTTCGCACAACCGCACACCAACCCTCGCCGTTGCACGCTTGCGGGGGGTGGGTCACAGGCGGTGGAGGGAGGCTGCACTCTTACCTCCGGGCCGCCGCCGCAAGATGGCGCAAGCCTCCGTTCACCTGGCGGAGATGCCCGGGTGGCCCCCCGACGCGCCCGTGGTGACCCTACGCCTGCCTCGGCTGGTGAAGGTTCCCTGGCCTCGACTGGGGGCTGTCCCGCTCGGGATCCCCTGTGGGTGAGGTGAGAGGCCCACGCGCCCTCCTGCTCTTTGGGCGAGGTGTGGCCCCAGCCACGATCGCACGCGTCTCCGCCACATGTCGCGCTCGCACTGAGCGGGAGGGGTTGCGCACGGTAGCCACCGCCGCAGCATGGCGCAGAGCCCCCCGTGCCCGAGGCGCCCCCCCCCCTGGCCTCGAGTCCCTCCCTGGGAACCCTTCGCCCCGACAGGGAGAGGGGAGACCCCTTCCCCCCCCGACGCGCGGGACACCTTTCTACTGCGGCCAAGCGTGGGGAAGTGCCGCCAAACGGCCACCCGAGGAACGCGGGGGGGGGGACCCGAGGCCCGACACGGGCCTAGCCCTCCTCGGCGGGCGAGGGCCCCCCTGGCTGGACCGGGGGCCAGGACTCGGGGGCTTCCCTGCGGCAGGGGAGAGGCCCGTGCGCGACCCCACCTCGGCGAGCGCGACCCCTCGGCCCACGCTTCACAGCAGAGCCACACGCCGCACGGCCGGAGCAGCCGCAGCCGCTCGGTATTGCAACCCCCGCAGCTCGTCAGCTGCCCCACTCCTCCCTCCCTCGTGGTCATGCTAGCATTGGGTGCCTCCCCCTCCTCTTCCCCCCTCCCAGGGTGCAGGGGGACCTAGCTACCCTGCCCCTGGGGGGGATCTGCTTTTCGTCTTCATTCTCTTGATCTACAGATGCCCCAATTTGATCAGCCCCCCAGGGGCAACGGCCCGGGGGGGGGGGGGCGATGGCTGCGCAGGATAAACACAACAGCCAACACTTACCAGCTACCAGGAGGAGCAGGAGGAGCAGGAGGAGGAGCAGGAGGAGGAGCAGGAGCAAGGGAAGCAGGAGAAGGAGGAGGAGGAGGAGGAGGAGGAGGAGGAGGAGGAGGAGGAGGAGGAGGAGGAGGAGGCGGAGGGGGAGGAGGAGGAGGAGGATGAGAGGAGGAAGGTCGGTTCGAAGGATCGAGGCTCGAATGTTTAAGAAGTTGTGGTGAATTCCTGGAGGCTGTCCAACTTCTTCGGGATGCTTTTTGGAGACTGCGCCTCGCCCGCCCGTTTCTGATGCCTGTCAAAAGCTGTGCTCCGGGGGTGCCTGGATCGTCTGGAACGGCCGCTGGAGACCCGAGCTATGACCCGAAGGCCAGACAACCAGTGAAACGAGCGGGTTCTTCGCCAGGACCACCAAAGAAAGACCCACGAAGAAGAGCTGGCCCCGGGGCGAGGGGCTGGGGAGGAATTCCTAAGTAGGTGGCGACATCCGAACCCCCCCACCAGCCATCACTGCTCCCGAACCGATAGGAGGCGGGGGTAGGGTTCGGATTTCGCCACGCGTCCGACGAACTCCGAACCCTTCCCCTGCCCTCCATCGAGCTGCCCGAACCGTTGATCGGCGAGGCCAGGCCTATGGATTGACGGGGAAGAATCCTTCGGGAAGTTGCCCGGGACTCCGACCCGGAGGAGTCTCAAAAAGGAAGACGGTCAAAGAACGACCCCCGGTTTCGGGGCCCGTCTCCCTTCCCAGACATCCGATGTCTCGATTTTTTCGAGACACGGGTCCCCGACCTCCCGACCGCTTCCCCAGGACCGGTTTTTCCCCACCCGACAGGTTGGGGTCGTTAGATTTTAAGAACAGACCTCCCGACCCGTCTACCCTGCATTCTGCGGCCGCCGGATCCCCAGGCTCCCGAATATCCCCGAGAGTCCCGCCTCGCGCCCCTCTGCACTCCGCGGCCGCCAGATCCCAGGCTCCTGAGTATCCCCGAGAGTCCCGCCTCGCGCCCCTCTGCATACTGCGGCCGTCAGATCCCCAGGTCCCCCGGGTATCCCCGAGTGTTCCGCTCCGCGCCGATAAATCATAACATGACAGAGCGGTACTAAAAAACATAATCTAGAACAGCACATCACGACAAGCTATGACATAACAGCGCGTAACACCACACCACCTCACATATCATATCAGAGGAAAACATATCAGATCATTACACAGCATCTTGTAACGCAGCACACAATAACAGAGCAATGTATAATATAGCATAGCATCACAACACATATCATTTTATATTATGACGAAGCAACAACACCACAACAACACATCGCAACACTGCACACACTATACCATATCATTTCACAGCCTCACACAACATTACATATCATATCATATCACAGTATCACAGCACATATAACATGGCATATACAATCACAACACATATGACATATTATACATTACATAGCGCGGCATACTATGTTACATCGTAGCCATACATGGCATGGCATAGCACCACAAGCTATGCGACGACGGATCAGATATAACATATTCTCACACCACACTTCATGCCATACCATACGGTAACATGATATAACACAACATGCGATTACATAACTTAGCGTACCATACCATACCATGGAATCACATATCAC